CGCTAACGTGTAAATGATACTATGGTATTTTGCATCCCATCCGAACGACTTGACACTGTTGGACATGTAAAGTCCGTTGTTATTATGTTATTATTTACAAGTAGACACAACACGTCTCGGCGACTAGACTGGTATGATTCGTCAACACGTAAGGATGACTTGTGAAATCTACAAAAAAACAATGTAAACTTTAAATGATCAAAACGTAATTTAGAATAGATTTATCTGAATAAAAATTAGACTATAATGTGTTTACTAAATGCATTGTTGATTGTTAAGGGTCCAGTGAAGTGGAGAGATGGACCTAATGGGGGTCACAGCCCTAGGAACCCATTTCATAATGAGCATCCAATCAAACAGTGAAATTGAAATTAATTTTTGCTTAAATTTTAAGTTATCTCTGATAACTTATCGCCCTATTTATCGGGGAGCCACGGAGGATCAGTGCGTAAGACGTTGGCTCGCTGTCCCATGGTCGATTCCTGCGTTGGCCGAGAAAGTTCATCGTGATTTTCCGGCGTAGTTCCTCCTTGTCAGTGGCACAGGACCGAGAACCTGGCAAGGAACAGCGTATAGTCGTTTGGATGGGACGAAAAACCGAGACCCCGTGGAAGTTGAGATTTGATATAAGCGTATAGACGGCTGTCTGGTCAAAAATTCCCACATAGCACACTATATGGCGTATGACCGTCTTCATTAGCCCAGTCGGAGCAGAACAGAACGACCTTAAACCCCATTTCATTTGTATTAATTCGAATTTGAATTTATGTCATCTGTTTTTACATAGAAGGTCTTTATTTCTCACAATTGTCATTACTAGGCCCTAAATTTGAGTCGCACAACCAGGACATGCATTACCGAAACTCTGAATGTCACTGGAAGAACAATGGGACATTAGCGAACCGAACAACCATGGAAATAATCTTTAAGAGGCATTTATAAACCTGTAACGGTAAATCTCTTTGATCTTTGGGGTATATTCTATGCCCAGAATAACTTGAGGTCTGAAAGTCGAGGGGAATTTGGGGTTATTCTTCTGAAAGTTTTTCTTTAAACCTGTAACAGGTTATTCTTCCAGGGTTGGTTTTTTTTTCTCCATAAGAAAACATGATCTAAGGTTTTTCTTATGGGAATTCTGGCATATTCTCATTTAGTGTACATGTAAACATAGACGGTTTATAAGCAAGATAAAGTCCTCGACTTCGGTTATGCTGGGGAAGAAAATCTTCAGAAAAAAACCCTCGACAGAAAACCCTCGGCCTGCAGGCCTCGGTTTTTCTTTTTCTCGGGTTATTATCTTCAGTCTTTCTTTCCCCAGCATAACCTCGGTCTCATGCTTTATCCTACACTTAGTAACTATGAAATGAAATGAAATGGAGTTTAACGTCCTACGTTTCTGCTCCTAACCTGGGCTAATGAAGACGGGCATACGCCATACAGTGTGCTATGAGGGAAATTTTGCCCGGACAGCGGCACTCCGGCCTACTCTTATATCGAATTCCAACTGCCAAGGGATCTTTTACGTGCACGCCAATGTGTACACGGGACCTCGGTTTTTCGTCCCATCCGAACGACTAGACAGCTTTCCTTGTCAGCCCCTCCGTCCTGCATCACTGACAAGGGAGAACCACGCCAGAAAATCTGGATGAACTTTCTCGGCCAATGCAGGGATCGAACACCCGACCTCCAGACTAGCGAGCTAGCGTCTTACCCACTTAGCCACGTGATCCCCACACTTAGTAACTGGACAGAACAATAAACTATAGCACATACTTATGGATAAACAGCTACTTATTTATTTTGGGCGACGTCTCGAAGAGTATTCTCTCAACGTATTACTGTATTAGATTGATAACGTTTCGAAACGACGCCCAAATAAATTAGTTGCTGTTTTCCATAAGTATGTATTATAGTTTATTAACCATGAAAATGGTGTCTGGCTAAATTGGAAATTACGTTCAGTCACAATAACCAATCGGGGAATAGTGACATATTCAATAAAACTTAACATCTCTGTTGGTTTTCGTGGACAGTTAAATGTCATCTTAATTTTTAGCTTTCCATTTAACACGTCAAGAACTAACCCAGTGACACTTGCTGTGTAAAGTAGACGTACGGAAAGACGATGAGACAAACATATTAGTATTAAAGATTTAAAAATGGCTTCTTGGGGCGCGACATAAAATGCCAGCGAAGCAAAACAAGTGTTTAATTAATTGAATCTTTTTTAATTATTTTGTACATTCTATATTTCAAAGTCTCTGTGTCATGTAAGGAGGTGGGAGGGGTCGGGTCGGGGGCATTTCGTTGCAAACTACATTATTATGTTGAAACTCTAAAAGGAATACTGCTCTAAAATGGTGCAATTTTGTTTGGCATTTACTGGAGACGATATATGGGTCATAATCAACACAGGCCAGTGCCACGTATGCGTTTCGCTGCGGTCGATTGATGGGTCTCATTTTTAATTCGATTGATTCCAATCCGCGTAGTACTATTGTTATTTTGATTTTGCTTTCTTAATTTAGCATGGATGAAGTCGTGGAAAATTTGATATTCCCGAAAAATAATATTTTCGCATCGTGTCGATAGCTATACAAAAGCCCATGCTGGTTCAACGACCTACAATTCTGTTCTATGTCAAGTTATAATCGTGTCTACAAGTAATACAGACTTTGAAGCTAAGGCATGGCCAGTTCTTGCTCTATCGCATGCTGGTTCGTTATACAGTACGTGGAATGGACTGTAATTCTGTGTTATGTCAAGATGTAATCAAGTCTAAAGGTCATAATACTTTAGAGCAAACACATATAGATAGTCTTATACTTGTCTTTTTTTATATCAAAAATATCAACATAAGTCGATAAAATAAAAAAAAACCGAGACTTTACAGAGGTTATTTTTTTTTTACTTTAACGACGAGATTTGATATTTTTTTATATCAAAAAAGACGAGTAGGAGATTTTTTTATCACCCAATCCTTTCTTACGTGCACAAATAAATAAATATAATTCTTTGCTATAGATTTCACTTTTACTGGACCTGGTTATATTACGGCGTAGTGATACATCAATTTTTGACAGCAATTCAACCATTGCAAAGTCCTTTATACTGACCCACTATTCCATCAAGGTCAATTAAATAAAAATAGTTCATTTTTAATATAAAAAGAGGTTACTTTCAATAAAAAATGAATTGTTCTTTGAAAATAAAAAAAATGTAGTTCTTTTCGCAGTAGATTATGAAGTTTATCACTCACGCGATATCTACTGTAGAATGTAGTATTGAGTGATAAAACCAGAGGTTGTTTTATCTGTAGTGAAAACCTTTTAGTCCAGCAAATATTTGGGACAAATTTGGAGCCGAGCACAGAGGTCAGAATTAACATTATAATCAATGGGGAAATCAATGGTGATAGGCCCCGCATGGACTACGTCTGCGACTACTAATTGCTTCTCTTGATCTCATGATATACGAATGTAGTTCCACCCCACCCCACCCCACCCCACCCCACCCCCTTTGTGCTGTTACAGCCAAGGTTTCATCAAGGTACAAGGGTTTGAGGTGAATATAATTTTCAAATTGTACCCAGAATTAAGTTGCATTCGTTTACAATGGCGTGCAGAGGTTTGGTTGTGAGATTGGGTACAATTCCTAGATTGTAGGCACCATAGATTCATTTACAGGATCTAGAACTCCTAAATATAACAGTATAAGACATTTTAAATAGGGTTATGACGTTTTTTAGGACTTCGAATTCTGTCTTATGGTTTGGATTGTTCGTACTTGGTTTTATTTTATTTTAAATATCTTAAAACAGATAAAATAAACTCTTTATTTAAATTAAGTAGGGCGGTGTGTACAACAAAGTTAACGATAATTTTAAATTGCAAAAAACTGATTTAAATTACACTCTTTAAGAGGATGTCCCGCTGAAATGGATGCTCGTCGCCTTTACCCCCCCCCCCCACCTTTTTGCACACCACTTATGTGGTATTATTTTTTAGATGAGTTTGGTGACCTTTACGGTTTTTAAAATATGACGTAAAAGTTACATACGTCATTTTACGGTTCGTAATTCAAATGGAGATAGGATATATGTCAGATGAAAATCTGAACTCATATTATTGAAATTGCTATCGTTATGAAAACCTAAAATGAAATCAGATTTGCGTTTAGTAACTTTTAACAACACAACCAATTAATAAACTCCAGTGTGAGATTAACACTCCATCAATAAAAATATTATGAGTCAAAAGCAGTGGGCAAAATAGGTCGAAAGCTCACCGTGTAGCCCAATAAGTCAAGTCGTGGTTTTCTAAAATGCGCAATGAATCAAAAGATGCATTAGTGTAGGAGGCAGTAGTTGTAGCGTGACATGTTGATTATTGTAATGGATTGCTAAATGATATCCAACTGTCAATCTCAATTATCGCTAAAAAACGCAGCGATAAAAATCACCCGTGACGTCAAATGGAAACAGGCTTGCAATCAGTATATCGCGGACAGGAAATAGATACGAAGGTTTGAACTTTTGTTGAAAAGGTGACTTTAACCACTAAAGGAGTCGTAGGCGAAACATTAGGTCATGGTCGTGATGTTCATTAATTGAATTATTCATTCTCGGGTTTAATCGAGACAGATAATCGTGTCTCTGGTTGTGAAATAAAATGAAATGGGGTTTAACGTCCTTCTTGTTTGATTCAGTGGGCTATTGAGGAAAATTTTTCCCGGACAGTGGCGTTTCCGCCTACACTTGAGTGGATTACTAGGGTTCATTTAGATGCGCTCCATCGAGTAGACCTCGGATTTTCGTACCAACCAAATACTAGAGGATGTTGGCCCTCCGTTCTGCAACAAGGAGAAACCTGGTCTTGAAATCTCAGTGAAATTCCTCGGCCAACACCGGAATCGAACATGGGACGCAGGGTCTAATGAGTCAGTTCCATACTCAACTTATATTTGACTTGAGTTTATTGGGTTTTATTTGTAAATTTCAGATATTCAGCATTTGAAAGAGACCAACCATTCGATCGAAGATTCCCCCCACTTCAGAGATACGAAACTATCAACTCCGACGTTTTCTCAGATCACAGCAGTGCTTCGTTAGACGGGCCACCAGTTAGTCCAAGAAGATACACAGAACAAAGGTTGGTCCTTATACAAATTCCCGGTAAGCAACGCCTAATCCACCCTAGATAAATTCTGCACCGCCGTTTAGATAAAAAAAAAAGAAACCGCCTTCAGCAATCCCTTCTCTGAATCCATCCCCCGATACTCACTTTTTGTGGGTCCGTTAACTGGCATCTCCTCCCATGGGTCTATCCTCTGGCATCTCTATCTCTGGGTCTGTTATTTGGCATTTCCATCTCTGGATCTGTCCCCAGGCATCCCCGTCCACATCAGGACATACTATATTATTTAACTAATAAAATGTTTTTACACGTCTTTCATTTCAGAAACAATTTTTCTTGTGAAAAGGGTCAAGATAAAGTTTCGTTAGTTGATGAAATTCCAGAATCGTTAAAACACTGTTCAGAATATGAAAAGGGTAAGCCAGTCGTCCATTGTCACAAGTAGCATAACACAGTAAAATTCCCCACAAACGATAGAAATTCTGCCCTGTCGAATTCCAACTGTCAAGGGTACAATTACGTGCACGCCAATGTGTACACGGGACTTCGGTTTTTTGTACCATCCGAAAGACAAGAGGCAATTAAACTGTGTAAGCCAGAGAGATTGATATGTCATTAATCATTTTTATCTTTATTCCTGAATGTGTATATTAATTTTTAAATTCTAATTGTTTAAACCCCGATAATTGCAATATTCTTAAAAAATAGCCCATTCTTTATCCCTTGGTGTAGACAAGCGTAATTTTGGTAGCTAACCAATTTAAGAATTAGAGTTTTCAAACACTTTATTTGAGAAATGTAAAGATTTGTAAAAGGCAATAACTGTGTAAATGACCATAATAATATTCAGGGATTTCTGTTCGTTTATATAAATTGATAAATGTATTGCTACTTTAAATTCCGAGCCCTTTACTGAAAAACAGACCAACAACAGTAAATGAGCTGAAATGGAATAGGGTTTAACTTCATAATGTTCTACACCTTCTGGACTAATGAATACAGGCATACTCCAGGCAGTGTGCTGTGAGTGGAGCGTAGATTCTCACTATATAATATCGAGTCCTACAATTATATATATTTAGAGTGGCATTGGTTGTATGCTGTATATTTTGCTGTGGACGTTATTGTAGAATAAACAATGATAGAGAGAGAGAAATGGGGTTTAACGTCCACTCGACACAAACTAGGTCATTTCGGGACTAACATATGGTTTAATTTTATTTCAATAATTCACTTGCGCGTAGGGGTCTTTAGCAGTGGGAGGAAACCGGAGGACCGGGCGAAAACCCACGAGGTTGGACAGGCGACCCTACTCCTTGTCACGTACAACCGGGGATTCGAAACCACGCCAGTTGATAAACAATGATATGAAATGGTTTAACGTTCTACTTTTCTACACCTACCGGACTTATGAAGCCGTCGAGGGTGCCATAAGGGGGGCGTAAATATTTACAGTTTTATACATTTAGAGGGACATTTTGTTTAGTGTCTGTTTGGGATTTTGCTGTAGATGTTCCTAATGAGTTTCTAGAAAAAAGACAATAAATTATAGGCATACCTACTTTATTATTTTCAGGGCCTCTAAAAGACAGAACATCCGAACAAGAAGGCGGTTCTCCTGTTTCGTTTTCAGAAGAAGGTCAGAGTCATAATGGCGCGCGTAGAGTATCCTTTCAACTTCAAAACCTCCCTCCACAAACACAATCTAATCCAAATCATCCTCTTAGAAAATTTAGAAGGTGAGTTTTATTAATACGGAGGCGGGCATTTTCATTTTCTCGGAGTTATCGCACCTTTCAGAGCGAATTAAATGGCGTTAATTGTATCTGCCCATTCACCAAGTATGTTTTCGTACGTGCTACGTACAACATCCTTATGCCCTCTTACAAATTCCTCCGTCCGGCACCGTTGAGTCATCGTTTCTTATCACCCACTTCTTGCCACCCAAATTTTTTTATTTAGCGAACTGATAAGGTTGTTATTATCGGAGTTTATTAATAAATTTGTTCTGCATCGAACTCGAACTGATACTTTCAGTTTTAATAATACCGTGTTTTAATCGATACATTTTATTTTCAGGTATACAGAGGGAGATTTTCATCACCTGAAACGTTCTAAAATAGCTAAAGTCTCCATTCCTCGTCAATATTCCCTGGGTACTCCCGCATTAAACGGTTCTTTTAATGGAATAGAATCGTGCATAAATAAAGGTTTACCCGAACGACATCGGCATTCCTTGTCAGTCATTGCCAGAGACCCGCCTACTCCCACACACGTCACACAGGGGTCGCCATTACTCATAAACAAACCAATCAAAACGCAAGTTTCTGTGGAAATTCATCAGTATTCGCCTAAGTTAGGAGAATATAGAGGGGACTTGTACGAAATAAGACGAGAATTTCGACCGATGCCGCCTCACAATTTACGGCGAACTATCGTTGGACAGAAGCCGCCATATTCCCATAGCCTAGAAACCGTAAGCCCAACTCAAAATAAACTTTATCGAGAAACTAGAAAGGTTAAAAGTTATGAAGACGTCGCGGATTATGACGTTCTCAAAATCACTGAGTTCTCCAAGGGCTCGGTGTATAGTGCTGACTATGACGTCATATCGGAACGTGATTCGCCATTCTTTTGTAAAGTGAGATACAACGATACCGGAAGTTTAGAGAAATTAAACGAAGAACATATAGAATATCTCGGTGACCTAGATTTAGAAGGCGTCATGCCGGACGAAAGTGACGATACAGAAACGTTAAACGGGACACAAAAATATCGTGAATTGTGGAGTTTGCGAACAACACTAGAGGAAGAAGAAGAATGCAGTGACACAATTCGAATGGAAAATATGACGTCACCGGAGGAATCCCCAGACCGCGATCATGCGACTCCTTATACTACGTCATTTGAATCCAATACAGAGCCGCCTAGTGACACGGGTGTAAGTGATCAGTTAGATAGTGGGATCCAGTGGGAAAGATCCAACAAGGGCGTAAATAACTTACTTCATCCGCCGAATCAAGAAAATAGGAGGCAGAATTATAGAAATATTCTAACCCGTCGATTGCAAAAAGCCGGTCCCAATCAAACAAGCGGTGAAAATAGTTTTGATAGTGTTGAAACGGACGGTGAAATATCGGATACAAGTCGATACGAGGTGACTACGACGTCATTTGAATCAACGACGGACAATACGGACAGTACTACGGAAAGTCAACATCGACTGCAACAAATGAAAGCTGACAGCGGATACAAATCGCTAGAAACTCAACAATCTACTAAAGATTCCGTAGATGGCGAAAAAAAGACGTCGCCTCCCAACGGTTCAATGAATCGCAGTTCTCCACCACGTGACGCCGTGGACGAATCTGCTCAGAAGTCAGTCGGAAAACGTAATGGAAATCCCAATCATTTTGATCGTCGTAATGTTCGGACTGCTTCAAAAAAGAGGCGAGAATACAGTCGACAAGCCGTGCGTGTTTACGAATCTATTAATGAACCGGAAACAGATTCGCGTTCCGATCTGCCCTCTGGTGACAGTTTTGAAGATAATACAGCCCCCAGTAAAATGTTTGTGTTCAGTAGATTTTTTAAATCCCATTCTAGGGGATCACGTGATCGGTATTTAACGCGAGATTATAGTATAGACGAGAAAACGAACAGAATATTTAACGATTTTATTCGCACAGAGCCTCCACGTGAGCCATGCACAAGACTTGGTGTACGCAAGTCGCCTCGACTTCATAACAGACATCGGTTACACCGGAAACACACAGACCCCTTGTTTGGTCAGGATAGAAGACGTGATCGTTTGGCACCGGAAACGCGTAGTACAAGTTTGGGAAGTGACAGTAGTGCGAGTTCGGTTCGTCGATTGTCACCACAAGATAGCATAGAAGAGGAGGAATTCGAGGGCGAAGAGGAGGAGCGACGAGTCACGTGGGGTGATGAGAGTGCGCGACCACGTGCTGTCGTCTCACAACCTGCCGCCATTCACCCAATACCTATCATCAAATTACCAGAAGAAGAGTCAGGCGATTCTTAGCAACCTTGACATCAAGACGACAAAAACCAATTCGTCATACTTTCTAACGATGGCCCTGCAACGCCTAAGGCATTTTTAATGTTATTCGGACAGATACGTGATGCTCTTGATTGTTGCCTAATAGCGACACATCATCAAGGGATATTTACACTACAAAAGCATGTCTGAACAGCCTTAAAACTTACTTAGGTACGACCTAAAAACCATTATATTGTATCTAGGCCTTAACAGGACCGTCTAATAACCTCAATCCTCTCCCGGTGTCCACTATTACTCATGCGAAAAGCGGATGGGGATTATGAAATTATCTCGTTATCCATTGTTTTCGATTGTCATAAATCAAATGAAATTCGGCTTTGGTCTAATTTTAAGTCACTAGTATGATCGATAATTTGTTTGATAATGGGTTCATTTCATACCCCCCCCCCCCCCCCACACACACACACAACGACCATTGGCTTATTGCATAGCGGCGGACATAATTCTAACGCAAGACTATTAATCGATGCAACGATGTCGTGGTTCGAACGATCCGATCGTGCTGTTCGATTTACCAGTTGCGTTCGATCTTTCTTGTATATGATAGTATACAAAATAAAATGAAATGGAGTTTAACGTCCTTCTGGGCTAATGACGATGGGCATACGCCATACAGTGTGCTATGCAGGAAATTTTGCCCGGGCAATGGTTCGTTTACATCATGCAAATGTGTACACGGGACCTCGGTTCCATCGGAACGACTGTACGTTCGCGATAGCACAAAATTCCAGGTTTAATTGCGATTCCACGCAGCGGTTGTGGGTCGAATTTATGCTGAAGCCGACATTATGAGATCAAATTAATACCCAGTTCAATTTAATTTTCAACATAATTCGAAATATTATACACCAAGCCAACCTCTGTCATCAAATTGTTTTGATATTCCTGACTTAGAATTTGACAAAATGAAATGGGAGTTGAACATCCTACTTTTCGTTACCAGCTTGGTTGGATAATGAAGACGTCATATGCCATGCGTTGTTCTGTAATGGCAATTTTAATCGAATTTTAAATGGAGAGAGGTTTAAATAGACTAAGCCTGTTCCACAATCCCATTCAGATATCCTGTATAAAAATATTGTTTCATAAAATAAGATTTCTAACTGTCAAGGTAATTTCGACAAGGTGGTGAGAGTGCTTCTAAAAATAGATTTAAAGTCACTGTCGACATCGCATTGCCCACCTGCTTGTTGTTGCATTATATTTATCAGGAAGTTGTGATACAGCCATTGGGAGGGGGGGGGGCTAGTGGTCTAGAGTGCCGCGATTCGACCTCTAGCTTGCCGGTCACCTCTGGCTTATGGTTGTTGTTTCGGTCACTGGTGTGCGCGTATGTGGCTTGGAGATGGGGGCGCCTTCTCAACCTCATGGGTTTACTCCACTTGTCTGCGATATCACTTTCTGTTGAAGCGGACGTTAAACACTAACAACAACAACGATACAGCCATTAAAACTTCGATACTTAAAATCTTAAAATGTATCTGTTATTAAATGTAACTTTAAGAGATAGGCAATTCTGAATGTCAGATGACCCCCACACATTTTAACATTAAGATTAATTAATTTTCCTGTCGATTAGAAAATAAATTAAAGTACCCCATTACCATGCAATCTGCTAAATTATGAATCAAGCGGACGACAAGTAATAAGTGATGTGTACTTCACACCTCAAAGCTGTCGAGTGTGTTTTTAACAGAGTTGGACTACTTTATGAGGAACACACAATAAGCGATTGCCGAGTGTATTTTCTATCAAAATAATAAAACACGTTTGACGTCAAATGCGTTGAAAACCCAACAGTTCGCCCACTCTTCAATTCCAAACGTAAACTTCCTGATGACATAGAGTCAAACAAAACAAATCCCTTGAAAATTTACCAAAATTAAAAAAGCGAAAGAGATAATAAAATTATATATATTATATAGCTATATGTATACACATAAAAAAGTTTCTTTGAATTACTCCCAGAGAAATATATATAAAATTACGTTGAAAAAAGAAATAAACACATGTTTATGGCTAACGTTTTCAGTTCTCTTGAACCTCTTCAGGCCATATTGATATTATTTAATGTAATATATAAGACAAGTGTGTATATATAACTGCTCTTTTATTGTTAACAAAGAATGCGCATTAAAGGCCTGGTGATGTTCCGATGAAACTTAAAGCGCTAGCCGAATAATACTAAGTTTCTCCCTCAACATTTTAATTTATACAGTGTTCAAAATCACGTTGGTTTGATTGCTGTATTACATGTCTTTATCTCTTTTATTCTTTTTATAGTTCGCGTGAATTCAATCGGAATAAATACAGAAGCCTATTTCGTTTCGTTTTCATACCTTCGAATATATCCCATCCTCGCCCACTAGAAATAAAAATGTTTAAAAGTATGGAATTAAAAATAGAATGAAACGAAATAGCTTCTGTATTTATTGAACGTATTCAATTACAAATCTGAAGGCATATCCAAAGAACAATATGCATCTTTCAGCATATTATTAACAAATTGCATGTTTTGTTTCAAAGTGTAATAGGAAGATTTTTCTTAAGTAAAAGTAAGGCATATATTTTCATTCATGGGATAAGCGTCTCAGTTGTAGATGCTGATTTCTGAAAGTAAATGATTTTTTTATTGTGTATTCGGGTTATTTTTCTGTCACACGCACATTGTCAAAATTCTTAAAGGTGCTGATCGTCATTTGCATTTTTCGGACAGTGTCTGTTTTTTTTAAGGTTTTATTTTCCCAATGTTGTGACATCAGCTTTCCTTTAAGTTCAATCGCTATTTAAATGTAAAATAGTATTTATAACGAGAATGTGTCTGAACAGAAACTGTGGATCTGTTGTGAAATATTAATATGCTGAAGTGGGCGATCATAGTAGCGACGAGTCTTAAATGCTCAATTTATTACCCACGAAGATTCTTCCAAATATGTTCGCCTTAACCTTCTATCATCTTTAACTTGTATTGTTTTGTAAATTTTGACTGTTTCTAAAACCAATGTTAGAGTTCTATTAATGTTAATGTAAATATTCGTGTTCTATTTCGCCTTGGAGGTGTAAATTTTTCCTTTTTTGACTTTCCAAGAATCTTTATGTAGTAAACTGAGCGCAAGTTAAAAAGTACTATTATAGTATTATGAACCAGGAACCGGATATGGCGTCATCGCAGCCATCTTGGAATTGAGACGCCCGTTTCATGAATTGTAGTTGTCTCAAGAACAAACATGCCTTGGGCCTTTTTGAAGAGCGTTGCTAAGGGAACATCGCCAAATGTAGATTACCAAGTGTATACAATCAGTTTCCGGTTCACAAATACCTTAAAGTGGCCATATTGTTCTAAATAAACTTCAATCATCGCGATCTTACTGTATTTTACAAGCCGCCATATTTCACAAATACAAGTTCTTGTATTAGCTAGCAACCAAAGTGATGTTTATTTACAGTCCCTGAAGTTATCGAGAGATAAACAACGAATTTACATGCTAGGGTTGCTGCTAACAAATTCAAAAATTGTCATGACTAATGGCACGATGATGGCTTTTAACTTCTCTTATTGCTACTTTAATTTGAATCCTAAATCGCTATGGATGCTGACATTATTGTCATCGTGGGTTTTTGGGATACAAATTACTCCCCTGAAATACCATATTGTTGTATTTCTAATGAACATGAAAACTATACTCTCATATTGAGAATTATTTTTTATTATGCTAATTCTAAGCCTCTCCTGCTCACATATTTGAAAATTGCTGCTTAAATAAAACACTGACGGTCCTGACCCAATTGGAACAACATGTAGATGAAACAAAAATGGCGTCTATTTTAAAACCATTTTAATTATTTTTTTTTTCAAATCAATTATATAATGGATATTATCTTTAACCTGTCTATAATAGTTAAAGATGCATTATGTAAGAGTTAAATCGGCCTATTGCAGGCATTTTTGGACTTAAAATGTTATATGAATTATTATATAGACATTTATTCACATTGCAAACCCATAATCAACCCTCTATACTATCGGATGGATGAGATATTAAGTGGATTAGGAAATATTTGCCATATCTTCGTTAAACGTTAAAATAGAAAATTTAGAATCGAGACTATTTACACTTTTTCTTGCCAAAACTTCAATATTCATAACTTCGCTCAGAAAAAGAGTTCTAGCTTGGACTGACATTTTCAATATATTCATTTATCATTATCAGTGTCTTAAGCTTACATAATGCATCTTAAACATTTTTTTTTTTTTTTGTTATCCGTGTAAATTTTGTTATTGTTAACATTTCGATATTTTACGAAAAAAAAGGAAAAATACTGTAGATATATATGTAATTCGTGTTCTGTCGTTTATCATGTGACATCACCAATTAACACGTGCATTGATAATTTATACCATGCAGGTGCACATTTTCTGTGATTTAAAATTAATGTATTTTAAAGATTGATATTGTGTTCGGCACATTACACTATTTTTCTATCGTTTTATCCATAATATTATTTATTATTAATATTATCAATATTATTGTTGTTATAACCTGATATCTGTCAACATTTCATTTATAAAAGTCCCTGATCGGATCGACATTTCCAATGTTCGTATTTTTCGGATAATATCTAATTTTTCACGACTTAAGTGTAATCAAATAAGGAAAAGAAACTCAAAATTTAATATCAAGGGTAGATAATCTTCCGGTTTGGTATCAATAGGATTATAAAGAGACTCTTCAATAGATTTCAGTGAAAATCATAGATTTCGATAGTTTATGTTGACTGTCAATCTGATTAAAACACAGATCTTATTTCGTTTCATTTATATAGTTCAAAATTTCGTTTTACTTGTCTTTACTACACTGGGATCTGGAAGAGTTGTTATCATTGACGTGTTCTGAATGATGTGAGCTATTAGCCAATGAAACAGTATGTTACGGCGAGAGCTTTAGGCGTGTTTTGCACGGAACTGTGGGTAATCCACTAGTAACATCAATGCTGATTGGTTAATCAATGTCTGACGTCATAGGGTCAAAAGCCGCTCGTATGACCTCTGACGCGACTATCGCTACAACTTGTCAGATCTTCATGTAGTGTAGGCCATCAAAAGTATAAAAAACGAAACGAAATATAGATCTGTATTTTAATCAGATTGATAGACTGTACCATAATATCATCTGTAATGGATGCCGAATGTTAACAAATACTGATAGGAATCAGACCATTTTTGGACTGGTATTCCTTCTAGGTACAATTTGTTAAATACAATAATGGAAGAAAAGTACATTGGGACACCGATCCTTTGACACGCTAGTATTATTTATATGATATTTTATTGTAATTATAATTTAATTCTATTTTTATCTGAAATCTATCTTTGTATATTTTCATTGTATGTTTTGACTCCAGACCAAAAACTGTTACTTTTTTGTTATTTCTTGACCTTCCCCCTTTACACCATGACCCCAACCAAAATAAAGCCTGTTTTATATAAAGCTACTGTGTTTATTGGTTTATCTAGAACATCTGATATCGCTTGTTAACATATACTATTCAAAAAAAGTAGGGGATATTTGATTTTGGGGGCATAATACTAAAATATGCAAATGACTACGAAAAAAGTCACTATAGAACCTAACAGAAGAAACATTTCCAGTTACATGTGACGCCCAAACGCACCAATAGCTACCGCATGGAATGCAGGTGATGCTTGGGATCATTATGGGGGTCCAACCCAAGATTTGCACGACTCTGACTTTGAATGTTACAGTCATTGTGGCATTGAATTCCAGGGGGAAACATCAGTTTAATTGTTTTAGTGACCAGAAAACAAATTTTGATATGCGTCGGCTTACCCAAAATGAAAGGTTACGTGCCCTTGGCATGCTACAGATCGGCACAACACAGGCGGTTGTGGCGCGGACGATGAATGTTTCTCAGTCTGTCATAAGCAGGCTATGGTCCAGATACCGTGATACACAATCTGTACAGGACAGACCACGCTCAGGTCGACCAAGGGCGACAACTCAAGCCCAGGATCGATTTATCCGTACCTTGGCCTTGAGAAATCGTGTCATCACAGCAAATCAGATCAGCGCTCGTCTTCAAACAGACACTGGTGTGAGAGTGAGTGGCCAGACGATTCGGTATCGACTGCATAGGGGTCACATTCGCGCCCGACGTCCTCGCGTGATCCCTTGTTTGAGAGATCATCACATTCAGGCAAGATGTCGTTGGTGTAGGGATCGTCAACACTGGGATAATCGACGCTGGAGCAATGTGATGTTTTCAGATGAGTCAAGGTTCACTGTTGATTTTTTGGACAGACGTAGGAGGGTGTGGCGTCGTCGAAACGAGCGCTTCCAAGACGTTAACGTCATCAGACATGATCGATTTGGGGGTGGTTCTGTTATGGTGTGGGGAGGCATCACTGTTGCTGGAAGAACGGCTTTACATGTTGTTGCAGGGCGTGTTACAGGCCAGTACTACCGGGACAACATCTTGACAGTCCATGTTGTGCCGTTCGCACGACGTCATGGCCGCCGTGTCATCTTCCAGGATGACAACGCAAGATGTCACAGGGCCAGGATCGTTACAGGTTACCTCCAACAACAGAACATCATCACATTACCTTGGCCAGCACTGAGTCCCGACCTCTCCCCCATCGAGCATGTCTGGGACATGCTTGGACAGAGGTTACGTCAACGTCAACAACGTCCTGCCAATGTCCAAGAACTTGCTGCTGCGTTGCAACAGGAATGGGACAATCTGGACCAAAATGACCTTAGACGTCTCATTAGGAGTATGCCACGTCGGATCAATGCTTGTTTGGCAAACAGAGGAGGATTTACCCGTTACTGACTTGGTTGTGATGCTGTGGTAACTTTGCTGTTTGACCCCGGGTATCATTTTACCCTTATAATGGTCAGTCTGTGCCTTACTTAGTCTAACGATCATTTGGAATAAATCGATGAATGTGAACTTCATTTCATTTTGTCATTTGTTTCTTCGTCAGTTTCATTAGGTGACTCTAATAACACTTAAAAATCAAATATCCCCTACTTTTTTTGAATAGTATATTTTGAAAGATGGGAAAACACTGATGAGATAACTTGATTCAGAAATGAATTTAAAACTTAACACATAAATTTCACATGATGTCTGAAGTATTATCGTGGGTCCATATACAGAGAAATCACACTGTATAATCCATTGTTCTGATGGAAGAAATTGAAAACCGTGTTTTGTATTTTTCTGAATCCACATTTGATTTGTGTGCTCTTATATTGTATCACATTACTTCTAGGAATGAAATGGGATTTAAGGTCCTACGTCCTATTTATCTGCCCCGACTGGGGCATACACCTTACAGTGTGCTATGAGGGAAACTTTGCCCGGATAGCGGGACTATACGGTTTACTCTTATATCGAATTCCAACTGTCAAGGGTTCTTTTACGTGCACGCCAATTCTTCCCATCCGAATGACTAGACGCTTCTGTTGCTACGTCCTCCGTCATGCACCACTGACGAGGAGAAAAAACACCGGGGTCGAACCCTGGACCTCCTGGTAAGTGAGCTAGCGCCTTACCCATTGAGCCATACACTGTGCTTGGGAATTCCCTCATGTGTATACTGACGTAGAAGACATGTATTACAGCACGGTATTGTGTATGACGCAACTATTTGGGAGGGGAGGGGGTGGGGATGGGGTGGATGGCTGAATGGCTGAATGGTTAGCGTGTGCGCGCTGAATAATAAAGTGTGCCATTGAGTCAACTGGCGTGGTTTCGATTCCCCGGTTGTACGTGACAAGGAGTACGTGACAAGGAGTAGGATCGCCTGTCCAACCCCTCGTGAGTTTTCTCCGGGTCCTCCGGTTTCCTCCCACTGCTAAAGACCCCTACACGCAAGCGAATTATTGAAATAAAATTAAACCATATGACCTAGTTTATGTCGAGTGGACGTTAAACCCATCTCTCTCTCTCACACACACACAAATTGTTTGAAAATGTCCTAACGTGGTTTTCCTGAAATACAATGCTATGCCCGCTAGGTTTTCATTATCATCTTCAAGTTTTAGATTGTTATACTTCACAGCTAATCATATTTAATAACAGAAGTAATGGTTTTTGATTCCCAATCAGTAACTTCAGGAATATTTATCTTCCTTGATTGCCATTTAGTAATTGAACAATTTTATGGATACACAATTACTGAGTTTAATACATACCTGTAATTGTGTATCCATTAAATTGTACCCGGGAATATTTAGTTGGTATAGTGTATTCAAAAATCTCAGAAAACATGTATCACCGCATTATGGACTAGAAACGGAGTATGACGTCATCGTTACCAATCTTCTTAGAGTTTTTTTTGTTTTCGAAAAACGCCTTATAATCCTCAAATTCAAAAACGATCGACGTGGAAATTGTTCCTTTGATAATTGCGCATCAATTGACGGATTTTTGATATGTCATTACGTCATACTCGGTTCCTGGTCGATAGTGCATTCGTACTTATTTCTGGAATATGTAAACCAAACTATAGATATTAGACACCAAGAGAAAATTGCCTGTAATAGAATAATAATCTAATTATTTGTCGTCACGTTGACCCATAAGAAACTAGAGAGAAAGAGAGAGAAATGGGGTTTAACGTCCACTGGAAACAAACTAGTTAATTTCGGGGCTAACACATGGTTTAATTTCATTTCAATAATTTGCTTGCGCGTAGGAGTCTTTAGCAGTGGGGGGGGGGGGGGGCGGTGGACCGCGAGAAAACCCACGAGGTTGGACAGGCGACACTACTCCTTGTCACGTACAACTGGGGAATCGAAACCACGCCAGTTGACTCAATGACAGAACTTATGATACAGCGCGCACACGCTAACCAAATCCCGCCTTCCCGCATCTAAAGACAATACAGCCCTTTAAGTCGTCAACAATTAAATTTAGGTACGAAATTTGTAGTGACGTCACATTGTAAAATGTGACTTGTGGGCATGGTTCAAACGTCCAATTTCAGTTTGTATCCCTTCACACCATCCTCTGGTACAGAAGGAACCAGTGGAAACAGGAATTTACTGATAATGGATGGCTGGTTTGTTGACCTGATCTAGTTGGCAGTTGATTATACTTTGTGAAATACTACACACTTCCTTATTGTATGTTCAGTCGTGTTGACATGTTGACGTGTATATATTTATTTCAATGTAACACATGTATTCTGATCTCTCAAGTTCAGCCATCTTAAATTGCCAGCTAGATTATGGACAGTTAATAATAATAATAATAATTATAATCAGGATTCTTATATTGCGCTAAACTCCAGAACAAAGTGTCTGCTCAAAGGGCTAACAAAACTAAGTTCATCTGTATGAACTGTCAAGCAGATATGTCTTTAAACGTTATTTAAATGTTGTTAGTGACGGGGCAGATTTGAGAGATACGGGTAGTGAATCCCACTTAATTGCAGCTGCAACTTCTAAGGACTTGAATCCAAATGATTTCAATTTCCTTGTAGGCACAACTAAGTTAAGTTGAGACTGAGATCTAAGATTTCTTGGTGGTTGGTAAAGTCTGAAAATTTCATTCAAGTATGCAGGACCAGTTCCATTTAAACAACGATACACAATAGATAGAATTTTAAAGTCAATTCTTTCAGCGAAACAGAGCCAGTGAAATGATTTTAATGCAGGGGTTATACTGGATTTAACAGGATGCAGGAGACTGTTACAATAGTCTAGTCGTGACAAAATTAGCGAGCGAGCAAGTGTAGCTGTGGCTTCAGTTGTGAGAAGATGACGGATACTACTAATGTTCTTCATATGATAGTAGCATGTTTCAGTAAGATGGTTCACATGACTAATCATGCTGTTGTTACTATCTAAATAAACTCCAAGATTTGTTTACTTCACTGGAGAGTTTGATCAAAGAATTTCCTACTTGAATGTTATCTATTCTTATTTTTGATATTCTTGATGGTGGTCAATTAGAATAACTTCCGTTTTATCATCATTTAGTTTCAACTTGTTAAAAGACTTCCATGACTTTATCCTTGAGATACGTTTTATTGTTCTTAAGAAGATTATTGGGTTGATTTGTTGAGGAAAAACTATCAAGTAACTGGGTGTCATCGGCATACATATGATGGGAAATAACTAAAGTTTGTTATAATCTGTCCAAGTTGACTAGTATAGAGCGTGAATAAGATAGGACCCAAAATGGATCCTTGGGGGACACCACATTGTAGGGTCACTAATGTTGAATGACTGTTTTTCACAATGACTGATTGACTTCTGTCTAGGAGATATGATGAAAACCACTTCAGCACAGTATCATCTAGTCCAAATTCGTCACGGAGACGGTTTATCAATACAGTTGGATCAAGCGTGTCAAAAGCAGCAGAAAGATCAAGTAAAACCAATAAGGCAACATTGCCATTATCTACATTGATGTTAATTTCATTCAAAACACAATTTAATGCCGTTTCTGTTCCGTGAAAAGGCTTTTAAGCAGACTGGAACTTGTATAAAAAATCGTTATAGTTTTAATGTTCCATAAGCCGCTGTTTGACTGTTTTCTCAAGACAAAAACGTTAAGTTTGAAACAGTCCTGTAGTTTTTCTGTTCATTTATATCCAGATTTGACTTCTTCAGCAAGGGCTTTCCGATTGCTGTTTTAAAAACAGTGGGCACCACACCAGACTGAGATTCACAATCTTCATAATGGTTGGTAGCAACGTATCCGGGAACTCAGTTATGAGCTTTGTGGGAACGGGATTTAGTTGGCACCAAGTTGGTTTGGAATTGTGAATAAGTTTCAAGAGTTCAGCTTTATTGAAAGGGCGGAAAGTAAGCAAACAATCCCCATCGAAACTGCGACCCTTATAATGGAAAGAGTTATCAACAGGGCTCTAAGGTTACATCTGTATTATATGTCAAGTTTGACAAGTATAAGCATAGGCAGAGGGGGCCGATCTCAAAGGTGTGTATGTGTGTGTGTGTGTGTGGGGGGGGGGGGGGCTATTTCCCCGAATTTGTCACCCAAATTTTCAGAATGAATCAATCATATCAAAATATCATAATAGGCCAATATCGCAAATCCAGTCTTAAAATTGAAATTTTCCTATTTCCTCTCCTCAGATGTAAACTCTATTTTCCAAAATGTTCTGGGGGGAGAGTACCATAGACCCTTCTCCGATGGGACGTCGTCCACGGTGGCCTTCGCCGTAGATCTTCATGTGTAGGTACATCGGTGCACCCAACAGAACCCTCCCCCCACCAACACTTTTGGACTAGCTATGGGCCTGCATACAAGCTTGGGATATAAAGCACACGTTGGGGGCTTGGTTGTATCCCACATTGACGAACCATACACAACTATTTAATTGAAGTTGAAAGAGTAGAAAATGAAATGAAATTGGGTTTTGCTCCCATACAATGTGCTATAAGGGAAACTTTGCCTGGACAGCGGCACTGCGCCCTACTCTTATATCGAATTCCAACTGTCAATGGATATTTTACAAGCACGCGGGACCTTGGTTTTTCGTCCCATTCTAACGACTAGGCAGCTGTCCTTGTCAGGCCCTCCGTCCTGCAACCACGCCGGAAAATCTGGATGAACTTTCTCGGCCAATGCAGGGATCGAACACCTGACCTCCAGGCTAGCGATCCAGTGTCTTACCAACTTGGCCACCGTGAGCCCCTGTGCTAAGAGTATCACCACAATAAATAATGTACAATAATTAGATTGTTATAAACACCATGTTTATTTTTCTCTAAATCAACATTTATCTGTGGAATAATCAAGGTATTATAACAAGGGCTTACATTATTCTTTTCATCTCATTAATTAAAATTAATCCTGACTTTCTACTGATCAATTTCCACATACTTTCGACAATTAGCAGAATAATTTGTTGGCATTAATCAATCAGCCTTTTACTTATATTTATGGTTGACTATGCATATCAATATAGTTAGTTAAAGATACATTATGTAAGATTTAGATAAAGAGCTGACCATTCTTGCTATAATAGCTCAAAAATAGATAACGTAAAATGAAAATTTCATTCAGATTACATGTACTTCATTCTGACCCAAGTTATCAAGTTTCGTAGTTTGGAAAGATGTGTGCATTGTGGTAACCAGCGCACTGGTATATTCGAGACTTAGCCTCACTTTCCCATTTTTAAATTAATTTTTTAAATGGAGAGCCGTTCTAATCTAGTTAAAATCTTGAGTATCCGATGCCATCGAGAGTTGATTATGGTCTGGATACGTTAATTAATCTCTAATTAATAGTTTATATAACATTTCAGGCCTAAAGAAGACCTGCAATAGTCAGATTTATAACTTGCATAATGTATGTTTAAGAAGTCTAACCAATATTCTTGAATAATGTCTTTCTCTGTTTCAAGAAACCTAATTTTGAAGGCCAAAGAATTTTAAAAATTTGTGAGAGGTTTGTAAGCTTCAATCAATATGTAATTGGCTATAAAATGGTATGTCACTTTCTGTAGAGAAGCCGTATTTTGATTGCCGAATAATTTAAGACTTTTATATGAAATGAAATGAAATGGGTTTTAACGTCCTACTGTTCTGCTCCTAACCTGGGCTAATGAAGACGGGCATACGCCATACAGTGTGCTATGAGGGAAATTTTGCCCGGACAGCGGCACTACGGCCTACTCTTATATCGAATTCCAACTGTCAAGGGATCTTTTACGTGCATGCCAATGTGTACACGGGACCTCAGTTTTTCGTCCCATCCGAACGACTAGACAGCTTTCCTTGTCAGCCCCTCCGTACTGCATCACTGACAAGGGAGAACCACGCCGGAAAAACCGGATGAACTTTCTCGGCCAATGCAGGGATCGAACACCCGACACAGACTGACCATGGTTTATATTTGTCAATGAAAATATTTTTAATATTGCTACATTAAGGCCCTACTGTATGTGCACTTGGGTTTCTCTTACTATTCATAAAAAAAAAAGATTATAACCAAAACAAAATAGATATCTAATATTTATTAAATTACAAGGTAATACCATTTCGCTTCCAATATTTATTTATTTATATATCATTTGAAGTTAAAAATTTCATGCATTTTTAAAAATAAACAATAATAATAGCCATTCAATACCATACCAAATTTCATTGGATTATGGCCTGCAGTTAAGTTACCATTTGAAATTGATTAAATGTGAACAAAGATAACTAAGTTACAATTGATTTTGTATTTTTTTCTGAATTGAGTAACAGAAATTAATATTAACACCACTGACTTGCAGAATAACAAAATAGTAAGCCCACACCAAATTAAATTTTTGTTCTTTGGTGAACAATTATTTAAAATCATTGCTTCCTTTTGTTATGGAAAAAAACTATTGCATCCTTTTCTTTTGAAAAAAAAAACTAATTCAGCAACAAAAAGTATTTGTTTGCTCGTCTCAAAGTTTTTAGTCCCAAAATTTTAAGTTTTTCATTTTTTCAAAAAAAACCCCATAATACCAGTAAACGAAGACTTCAGTTGCTATTTATGAATTATTAATTTGGTTTGGCCTTAGGCATCAAATCGTATATTCTTTTATTAATAATGCAAAGGTTTACATCAAAGCTTGGTTTGATTTCGCTACCACTATTAAAGCTGGGTTAAAGGCCCACATTAACACAGCATAATGCGAGGAAAATCTATATAAACTATTTAATTTAGCAGGCTACTTTCTGCGACATGGCCACCATTTACATGGAATACAATCACTAGTTTATTATAAATAGAGCGCATTGTTTTATTGTAGACAAGAAATGTATGGTAGAATGTTTTTATTTTCTTCTGAGAACGTCCAATGTGATTTAAACCCTTTAGCACTTAGACCGACCAAAACAACCATAAAGATCAGCCATTTTGGACTGTATCATGGATGTATTTATATCTCTTTTTTTCTCCAAGGAACTGGGTGTAGTCAATATTTACATATACCAAGCGCTTAACGGATAAGATATACAGATTCATGCAAATCAGTTATAATTATATAACCCCCACACCACAAAAAGACTTTCCACAGATGAAAATCATAAACATTGACACTTAATTACACAGTAGGATCAAGACAGTCGACCTTAGTCTAGACAGGGTTACCGGCCATGTTGCACGAAGCCCAGGTTATGCAAATGAAATTGCCAATCAGCCTTTTAGCTGTACAATTCAATATTTGCTATACAATTCAATATAGCATATGCAAACATTGGTACAGTCTTTTGTTTTTAAAAATTTGATTTTAATCTAGGTCATAAATATGGTCACATATGTAGAGCAAAGTTCAAGGTCACAACTGCCATGAGTTCAAGGTCACAACTGACATGAGTTCAAGGTCACTTTATATTATACTGCAGTAGAAAGACTGTTGTAACTGGATGATAAATTTGTCACGGCCATGAATTAAATAAAATCGTCGTCTTCATAAGTATAATTTCCTGTAGCATCGCCTATAAGATCTAAATCATCAGCTCTATCAATCTTTATCACTGCTTTGTTTTTCTTTTTCTTCTTTTTCTCCAATTCCTAAAGAATAAAGCGAAAGTAGAAATATTCCACAGTCGATATTTAATTTTTCATTTAAACATACATTATACATGAGCTAAATCTGCCTATTGCAGGTCTTTCTTTAGGCCTGAAATGTTATATAAACTATTAATTTATTCTAGTATTAAAGACACATAATTCAATTGCTAAATTTGCCTATTGCAGGTCTTTCTTTAGGCCTTAAATGTTATATAAATTATTAATTAGACATTAATTAAAATGACAAAACCATAATCAACTGTCGATGCCATCTGATGGATCCGATTTTCATTTGATTTGAATCCAATTCGCCGTTTAATGGCCATTGAGGATTAACCGCAAAAATGGACATTCAAGATTGTTTATCATCATAATAATGACAATCAGGGCTAGCCTAAAATTAAATCGCCAATATCTAGGTTCAGAGTGAAATTTTCAGCATATTCTCTTTTCATTATCCATGTTCCAATTATTATAGCAAGAAATGTCAGCTCTTTATCTAATCTGACCTAATGCCCCTTTAATGTATCTAAAGTTTGAAGAAATAGAATTGGGTTGTAAGTCTTGTCAACACAATATTTATGTCATTTTGTGACCTACATAGGGTAAATTTTTGTTCCAAGATGGGAGCCATGGTGGTTCATTGGGTAAGACCTTGGTTCGCTAACCTGGAGGTCGCATGTTGAATCAATGCATTAGCTGAGAAAGTTCAGGATTTTTTGGCATGGTTCCCCCTTGTCAGTGATGCAGGACAGAGGACCTGACAAGGGACAACATATAGTTGTTCAGATGGGACGTAAAAACACAGGCGTGCACGTAAAAGATCCCTTGTCTGTTGGAATTTGATATAAAGTAGACCATAGTGCCACCGTGCGGGCAAAATTCCCCTCATAGCACGCTGCATGGTCTAACGTTCTGCTTTTCATATATTCCATGTCTGATCACTGGGCTAATGAAGACAGGCATACGCTATACAGTGTGCTATTAGGGAAATTTTGCCCGTACAGCAACACTATGACAGGTTACTTACATCAATTCAGAGTCTCATGATTCAATATGCAAATCAAAGGAGAATTGAAATACATTGATTCAACGATATATTGTGCCAGCACAATAGAAAATGGGAGACAACTCCGATTTTATAAATAACTGACCTTTCTTTGTCTCTCTTTTTCATGATGTAAATTGGTAAAAGTTGTACTAATTCTTTTTATATCTTCTGCTGGTACTGAAATAAAAATAAAACATTTTAAGCACAATATTTAATGTTAAATCTGCATGTACGGGCATACGCCATACAATGTGCTATGAGGGACATTTTGCCAGGACAGCGTCACTATGGCCTACTCTTATATCGAATTCCAACTGTCAAGGGATCTTTTCCATGCATGCCAATGTGTACACAGGACCTTGGTTTTCCATCCCATCCAAAGGACAAGACAGCTGTCAGATCCCCTTCCTGCATCCCTGACAAGCGGGAACCACGCCGAGAAATCTGGATGAACTTTCTCGGCCAATGCTGGGATCGAACACCCGACCTCCAGGCTAGTGAGCAAGAGTCTTAACCCATTTAGCCCCCTAAATGAAAGAAAATGAAATGTGGTTCAATGGGCTACTGTTGTGCTCCAAATGGGCTAATGAAGACTGGGAAATTTTGCCCAGACAGAGGCACTATAGCCTACTCTTTATTTCGAATTCCAACTTTACCCAGAGTAATACACCAAGGATCGAAATCATGACCACAAGACAGAGGTGTCCGACCAGCCAGAACTCGAAGGGCAACACTCTAGACCACTAGGCCATCCCATTCTCCCAATTTGGGACTAACATATGGTTCAATTTTATTTCAATTATTTTCTAAAGAAAGAGATCTTTTAGCTGTGGGAGGAAAACCGGAGAACCTGTGTCCCCAAGAAACGAATGCAATTAGACAACAATATGTTGCTAGTTCCACGGGACAAAAAATACAACTTGTAGTGAGCTATATTGGAATCTATATAAACAACTTACAATCTACGGCTAAATCCTGAATTAAATTTTCTAAAAATCTTGAGTAGTAACTATGTTTCTGTAAAGATAAATGATAAAAAAATGATTAACACTAATCTTTAAATGGCATATAGTGACTGAGAAACAGAACACTGATTTTTTTAGAAATAAAACCAGTGATTGTTTCCCATAAAAATTGTGTTCTATGTATCACTGGAAGGTGAAGCATGATACATCGATTCATTAATATCGTGCCAGCACTATGAGTTTGCCCGGTCTTATTGTTTTTGTTTTGTATATAGTGCAGTTCTTCTGCATTTATTATGGTTAATTCCGTTTCTATAGTTATGTATGCAATGCAATAATTTTGCCCAGGCAGTAGCATTTTCATCTGCTCTTCTTCAAATTCCAATAGGAGCACTTATATGTACACCAGTGGATCAGATTTTTTTTGTGCCATCAGATAGGTTCCTCTATGTGTACACTGAGATGTACACATGTGGAATTGGTTGATTTTTCTCCCAAACAATCAAATAGTCTCACTTTCCATGTCCTTGCAGAAGCCATGATAGCTAAGTGTTCTAACAATTTGAGAGAGAGAGAAATGGGGTTTAACGTCCACTCGACACAAACTAGATCATTTCGGGACTAGCATATGGGTCTATTTTACTTCAATAATTCGATTGCGTTTAGGGGTCCTTAGCAGTGGGAGGAAACCAGAGGAAATGGAGAAAACCCACGAGGTTGGACAGGTGACCCTACTCCTTGTCTGTTACAACCGGGTAATTGAAACCACAGCAGTTGACTCAATGACAGACCTTATGATACAACGTCCACACTTTAACCATTTGGCCATCCAACCCCTCTCTCACAATTTGACTATTTTCCACCACCATCAAACCTAGACATTCTTCTAGCTATGGAGTCCAACACTCAATAGATTATATAAATAAATAGATTATATTTACCTCAAAAGATGTTATTTTTTCTTTTAATGCTTTGGATAATTTTTTAAAATCTTCTTCCGTTTCTACAGATATAGATTCTAATTCACTAGATATACCTGAAATAACAAGAATGAAGCCTTGGATTACAAATCGCTATTTCCCTAATTACTCTAAGCTTACAAATCAGACAAACTACAAATGAAACAGTGCTGCTCTGCACCCAACCGACTAATAACAACAGGCATAAACCATGACGTTTACTCTGTTGAATTACAACTGCCTAGTGTACGCCAGTGTGCACACAGGGCTGCTTTTTTTGTCACATCCAAACAACTAGACCGTGCTCCCTTCCATGCCTTCCATCTTGCACCACTGGGGTAATGCTACTCTGCATCTACTGGGTTAATTCAGTATACTACGAATGTCAAGGGATCGTTTAAGTGTACTCCTTGTCACGTACAAGAGGGGAATAGAAACCACATCTTGTGATTTTACGCGCACATGTTGAACAACTAGACTATCTCCCCACACACCAGCCAAAATCACAAGAAGTGCTTGGCAGCCTTCTATGCACTAGGGTTAGATCATCAATGCTTCAAAAGTATTTACGAAGGAATCGTCCCTCTCATAGTTTATTTACACGGTAATCAGTATTCATAAACAATGTGATTATGGATAACCTTGTCCAATATTAAATTAAGAAAAACAGAATCATACCAAAAGCCTCTTTAGCAAGTTTAAAATCTGATTCTTCTTGAATTTTTTTAATACGTAATTTTTCTGCCTGCTGACCCTCCGCTGTTTTAAATCTGGCCTTTTCTTCCTGTAATTAAACAGATTTACCATATTAAACAAACTTGTCGTTTCAAAGGGGGAGCCATGTTGGCTCGCGAGTAAGAGGTTGGCTCGCTAACCATGAAGGTCCTGTGTCCTATCCTTGCGTTGGCTGAGAAAGTTTCTGGTGTGGTTCCACCTTGTCAGTTGTGTAGGACAGAGGTCCTGACAAGGTACAATGTATAGTCGTTTGAATACATATTACAAAGACCCCATGGCAGTTGGAATTTGATATAGGAGTAGGCCGTGGTGCTGCTGTCCAGGCAAAATTTCACTCATAGTAAACTGTATGGCGTATATACATGTATGTGATTAAATTTATGAAGCTGCAAAATAATGTCATTTTAATTTGAAAGATCCAAATGTTTCTTTAACTTACAAGTTCTAATCTAACTTCCTCCGTTTTCTGTTTCCTTGCTGCTTCTCGTTCAGCTATTCTTTGCTCTAACGGTTTCTTCTTTGGTCTCTGGTATGCTATCAAATAAATAAACATTTTTTTTTTTTTACTCAAAGTCAATATATTTGTACTATTTATTTAATATTTCTGAAATAAGAGGACTTCTTAACATTTTGGGAAAATGCCACTGACTACGACACCTTTGATCACCGTTTCAGCGATTGTTAATACTTTGCAAACTATTACTGTACATTGTGAAAATTAAATCTCTGAAAGGATATAGGAGTCTGACAGTGGCTTAATTCCATTCAGCATCAACTGTAGACGATATATGTGACTGGTGACAGCAAAATGAGTCTTAATGACCAAAAATTCAGAAATGAGTTATATACGTCATCTTAAAGAGAATGTCACAAGCTGTCTAATGATACCAAAATCATTGCTCTACCTTGCTACATCGTCGAGATATTCAAGTTCAAAGTCTGGGAGTCCAGAAAGGCCTATTTCGAGAAAACTTTGTTTAAAGATTATGTTAATAATTTCTGTTATTCATGACAAAAGTCATGGTTAAAAATGCCAAACTTCCACTAAACTTGACACAATTGTTAAGAACATTAGATTTCAACATGACACACGTAATTTCAATAAAACCATGCTTTCGGGAATGTTGTCACAAAAATAATCCAAAACGAGATTGTTCCATTGTTGAACACTGGCTGATGCAGACAACTTAAAAGATGTCAAACCGTTCAGACATTTCGCCACGGTTTGCTCTTTCGAAAAATCGCCATTTAAACAAGGGAGGTTTATGTACTAAAACTACGCATTTTTAAAAAAAAAAATGACTACAGTTTTATTCATAACTTTATGTCTATTGACGAAAACTCGAAAGGCGGATGTCATCTTGGTTGAGACGACATCGCCAGAGTTCAACCAATCAGACGTCGCAACGTCATTGACATCACTGGGTTACGACCTCCACAACGTCACATAGCAACAAGGCTGGTTTGTTTACTATTTTGAACGCCGCTATTGGCTGAGTAGTGTGTTGAATATTATAATGAGTACTATAAATAACATGATCAAGTATTCGAAAATGGTCAAAACCAAATTTTGAAAATTTTTGCACTCGGGACACAAATTAGCGTATAATTAGAAATCTACTTCTGCGACTTAAGACTCATTTTGCTATCACCAGTCACATATAGCATATAATAATAATATGGTCATTATACAAGTCAGTGCCACTTGCCCACTTATGATTTTCACTGACAACTCTTGATGGGCTTTATGAATGAATCTAAGCTGTGAAATTATCTAATGTTTCTAATTTAGTTTTCTTTACCCATTTGAGTACATTTCAGTGTAGATTAATCAATCGAAATGTAGATATTATCGAAAAATGCAATGAAGGCACGGTGGTTCAGTGAGAACGACACTGGCTAACTAACCAGATCTTGGATTTCATCCCAGTAATGACCGAGATACTGTGGTAGAGGGCCAGATAAGGAAAAAGTGTATAGTTGTTGGAATGGGACAAAAAAAAACCCACACACTGACAATTGGAATGTAATACAGTTAAAGGCTCAATACCACTCTTATTGTAACTGAATAATATGTCCCAATCTTTATTCTGGTCAACAAATTGTACTATTTTAGAATATTTCAATTAATTGATGATACAAATTTCATCTTAACACACCTTATTTAAAAATTTTGAAAAATTCAACATAATGGTTTGAAACGTCTAACGTAAACCTTTTCAAATGAAACTTCAATTTAAAAATATTTTCGAACCCTCTGGACAAGTAAAATAGGATGTAATGGATAATTTACACAACAGGTAGGACACTTAAACATCTAGTACTTAGATAGATATATTATTTATTTTCTGGAGCTTTCAAGCCAGCAAGAGTGTTATTGTCCCTTTAAGTAGGTGGAAAAGTTGTTAAGGCCAAAAGTGCCTCCATAGTACACTGCATGGCATTAGCCTGTTTTTTTTTTTATTTCTAAGAGTGGACAAATTAAACTTGGAATAAAATAAAGATATTATGTTACTTGGCCTGAGTGAGGGGGTTTGGTGGCTGAATGGTTTAACGTACTGCAGTATGCACTTTAGATCATAAGGTTTGTCATTGTGTCAAGTGCAATAGTTTTGATTCCCCAAGGAGTTAGATTGCCTGTCCAACTTCATGGCTTTTCTTTAGGTCCTTTGAATTCCTGCCACTGTTAATAAAGATCCCTACGCACAAGCAAATTATTGTAGTAAAATTGAACCATATGTTGGTCCCGAAATGACCTAGTTTTTGCCAAGTGGACATTAAACACCATCCCTCTCACCCTCTCTTAGCATGAGCGTAATTCATCACAAGAGTAGCATACCTTTCATTTCTGGATTTTCTGGTTTTTTGTCTTCATCTTCCCAGCTGTCCTTTAAAAATAAATACACAAAATTAATAAAGCTGTTGATAGTCATTTAAGGGATTTTGTATCCCTTGCAAACTACCATATTTTGAAAGTTGAATCTAGTGTAAGGGTTATATAATAATTAATATTATGTACAAAAATGGTTAAATTCCTTTCACTTTCACTTTCAGAAGTTACAAAGAAATCATGAATTAAAAACTTCACAACACACACGTATGTCATCCTCTGCATAAGATATAATCAAGGCAATTTCACTTATATACATAAGTGTTCAGCCAACATCTTAGTCACTAGTTAAAGTAGTTTCACTGAGCCACACCAGGGAACTTGGAAGTTCATGTGTCGGTACCGTATCAGATGGAAACAAAATAACAGAGTAAACTTCTTGACTCAAAACAGAGCTGATATACATGTATCAACAACTACAAATGGAAGTTTCTTTATTTGGCCATATTTATTATGATATTATTAAATACTAAATTATATTTACTAAATAGGGGACGAAAACACTTTATTTTTTATTTTAAATTTTAGTAATAAATACAGTCTCCTGAGTAAATGATTACTCCTAGTAGTCCTAGATCACCTAGCAGTTAATCGGCCTAATTGGCTGGATTAATCAAAAACCAAATTTCATAACCGTATGGAATAAACACATCATTGTTAATCATGATGATTCAACCCCGCCCGATCCTATTTTTTTAAAATTATCTACCTTGATCCCTTCTTCTTCGTCTTCTCCATCCCATTTATCACTCTTTTCTTTCTTGAAATCATTGACTTCGAAATCGTCTGCGTCTGAAATACAAAGAAACACAAAAATAATTTCAAAAAATGTAATATTATGATCAAGATCGTCAAAAATATGGGAATCCACATGTTTCTCACCCCAATCATCCGACATTTTGAAAAGCTATGGTCACGTGGCTTGTCCGAGAAAATACGTAGTTCGTAAAATAGGAACTTGTCCGTTTCTTTATTTCGTACAAAATGCCTCCCACTTATAACAATTTCTAGTATTGTAATGAATTTTAAAAATAATTATTCTTTAGGAAATTATTTTTATTAAGGGTATTTCCGTTTTCTATTTTTGATAACAACCAAGTTGTTTACAAATGGTGGAACTGGGAATTAGTGTAGGTTATTTCAATTTGTGTTTCACAACTAAGCCTAATACTAAATAGTGTAATAAACGCTTTTAATTTCTTCTTGAATGAACACTTTGGTGAAATTAATTCGACGTTTACAATTTTGGCTTTCTTCGCGATATAACGATTTGTAAAGGTTAAATGTAGCCTATGCTAAATAATATGAGTCAGTCTATTTTTTCTTTTTTTTAATGGAAAGCGAGTACAGAGAAGACCAACAGTGTGTGCAAGGGAGATAACTGCATTTAAGATGCGAGTTAATTTGGGGTTCAACCCCCTGAAGCAATGTATGGCCTAAATATACGACTGTATTTACGTAGTCGTATACTGTCGCCACCCAGGTCACATGCACTTGAAGGGATTAAAATTTCCTACATTATCTTGTCAAGCATACTACAATATTGGTATGTTAGATAAGATGATGTAAGAAATTAAAATTCCTTCAAGTGCCGACTGTTACTCCCGTCCAAAAGTGTGAACACAATCTTTTCCATATTCATTTACACCCGATTTTATTTTAATTCGAAATGTTAGCTTATATTCACGAGATCTCGGACGGGCCTGAATTTGAACCTACAACATGGGGGTGTAATGGACGTTACGTTATATGGTTCACGTTATTCTTTCCACTTCATTCACAGAAAGAACTTCCGAGATTAAAATGAATAAAGGAAATTCGCATTTTATATTAATAAAATTATGTAGGAACACTGATTTATTTTCAATTAATTATTTATTGTAGGGTAGAGGTTTTAATACAACATAATACAACACCATGAGTAAGAATCCAAACCCATCTGGTGCCAGACCCAAACAGGTAGGATAAGGTCCATGGTAATTGATAGTGAGATCAAAATGTGGATAGGGCACTGCCTGTTTCCGTTGGGGTTTGGTTGTGGGGGGAGGGGGGTGAATGGTTAGCACGTGCGCGCTGTATCATAAATCTGCCATTGAGTCAAATGGCGTGGTTTCGATTCTGCGGTTTTACGTGACAAGGATTAAGGTCGCCTGTCCAACCGGTATCCTCCCACTGCCAAAGACTACTACGCGCAAGCGAATTATTGAAATAAAATTAAACCATATGTGAGTCCCGAAATGACCCAGTTTGTGTCGAGTGGAGGTTAAACCACATCTCTCTCTCTCTCTCTCTCTCTCTCTCTCTCTCTGTTTTCGTTGATGAACACCTGCTACACATGGTTGAAGCTAGAACGGTTTTGCATTGGTTTCAACATTATCAATTCATGTTACAAACAGTGTCACATTGATTGGTCGAGGTAGTAACATATTCAGTTTTCACGCATAACGTGTCCCCGTAATTATCGGGTTCATTCAATTGACACCTTTAAATGGATTGAAAGAGATACGTTCCAGCACGTTTAGTCAAGTACTTCCAGTGGCGAATCAATTAAACACCCAACGGAAGTGGAATATATTGATGATAAGTTGTTTATTACTTGAATATTTACTTGACGCACGTTAGATTTCTACCATCTATTAATGAAACTAATAAATTTTCTGAATGTTGACGAAAAAATTTATTGAATAAACGATTAGATATTTAGTTTATATTTGTGTGATAGTGCATATGAGATATCGATTTTAATCACCACATTTAATTAATTTTAACCTACAAGTATATTCTATTTCCGTTTTAATGTAACTAAGTCTGTATTCTTTGGAACCTGTCCAGAAATGGACGAAATTGGACCAAAGGGCACATATTAATATAGTATGACTGTATCTATGCTGATTTATATTCAATTTTTAAAAACGTTTTTATTGTAATTTCTAACCAGTTATGTTCGTCGAAATCCGCGAGCAGTTCGATCCCATTAAAACACAGATCCTATTTCGTTTCGTTTTTTTATAGTTCAAAATTTCGTTTTACTTGTCTTCACTACACTTGGGCATGGAAGAGTTGTTATATAACCTGCGTTCTGGTTGATGTGAGGGATTAGCCAATTAAATGGTCTCTTACGGCGACTTCTTGGCGTGCGATGCACGGAACTGTGGGTATACCACTATAAGAAACATCAACGCTGATTGTTCAATCAAATGCCTAATGTCATAGGGTCAAAAGCCGCTCTATGAAACTTGATGCGACCTTCCCCTACAACCGACCAGATCTTCAAGTAGTAGAGGACACCGAAAGCTTAAAAAACGAAACGAAATATAGATCTGTATTTTAATCAGATTGTGAGCAGTTTAAATCGAATGACGGTCGCTCGTGCCGGGTTAACACAGTCTACATCAGGAGTACGCTTTGACATTTCACTTTACGCATTACAAATGGGCACCTTGAGCAGAGAGTACACGACGTCTCCGACTGATTTAAAATTATTCATATTTTCACCGTAAGATAAAAACATCAACATTGATTGGAATGGACCAATAATTCGTGTTTGTAATGTCGAAGGCTCTGGAGAAGATTGATTTAGAGCTTTACGCCCGTTCGTTTAATTTACTCCAGAATTGAATAATAGATAACGATGAAAGCATAAACACTAAATGTGTTTCCTGTTATTAAAAATCATTTCACAATAAAATATTCCCATCAATAAATATTCTGTATTGTAACATAATTGACTTCATGCAAGCGTTTAATTGAATGTTAACAACTCATTGATCACATCAGAGACAAAAAAAAAACCACGATTTTTTAGATATTTAGGCAACCAACGATGTTGCCGAATGCTGCCGAAATCACGGCTGTGTGTGTGTGAAGTCAATTTGCAGGCGACGTTTTAGAGATCGCCACCGTTGATGTTGCGGCTATTTAAAATGGCAGCGACTATGCGTATAAAAATTTGTAAGATCACTTGATACCTTAGTTTGCGCCGACTTGTAAAGCAAAATATTTGCCTTTTCTTTCAGTTGATGGTTAGAGAATTTCTCTTTTTTAGTTGTTGTTGTTTTGTTTCTGAGTATGTCGAAATCTCCAATTTAAAAAAAAAGAAATAGATTGCCCAGACATTAATCGAACGAATCCTTGACGATTAGAATTCGAAGAAGACTAGTCGGAAATGCCGCTGTTTGGGCAAGATTCCTTCCACTAGTTGTGCAGTTCAAAAGTTTGTAGTTCCAAATTTTAAACAAAACAGCTTTCGCGTGATTTAAACATGCATTATGTAAGAGCTTAACGTGCCTATTGCATGTCTTTCTTTATATAGATATTATTTAATTAATTATCAAGACCATAACCAACTTTCGATGTCATCGTTAACATGTCGTATTTAGTGGATTTCAATACGTTTTGTGATGGATGAGTTAACGTAAAAATGGATAATCGAGTAGTTGTTTATTGTAGTACCTACGGTAGTAATGACCATCGAGTCTAGCTTAAAATCGAATTCCTAATATCTCGGTTCAGAGTGAAGCAATTTGACTGAAATTTTCAATACATTCTGTTTTCATTATCTTTTTTAAAACTATTATAGTGAGAACTGTCAGCTCTTTATCTAATGTTTCTATTTATTTATCAAGACACCGTAAACAGCAAATCAAATTAGTGTGGCCTTGTTCGTTAATTTCAACATATTCACCACCCATTGGAACTAATAAACCCATTCCCACACGAACATGCGAAGCAAATTAAATGTCTTGTTTTTTCATTAAACCGAATTTAGGGAACTGGTGGGAAATCGTCTGCTTCTAAACCAGGAGCTGTTGGTAGTTCCAGTAAATCAACAACAGCAGCAACCAGTAAACCAAAAACAACAAATAAAGCTGTAGTTGCACGAGGGAATAAAGCCATGGCACCGCTAGTTGGTGGAAATCAAATCAAAATGAAAGAAATTGACGGAATTCTCCACCCTGAAGGTAACCTAACCGGAATGGTACATACACACGACACAAGTCTACAAATACAATCATAGGCTTAAAAGACGGGGGCCGCCAGATTTCAAGTTCAATTACTCTTGAATAGAGTGAAACGTAGCCAGCATAGCCATTGAATATAGTGAAACATAGCCAGCATAGTCATTGAATAGGGTGAAACATGACGTACATTTAGGCCTACATAGTCTCTTGGACATCGCCTTATAAATAGAACATCCGTTCTCGTTCTATTAGCATTATAAAACCAAAGCCAATGAATATATTTTTTTGTGGTTATAGTCTTGGGAAAATTTTATATATTATGTTGTGTTAATAAAATCACAAAATTAACCATAATTTATGTTTACAAAATGGACACGGTCATCCTCTTGTGACGGGATATTATTAATACTTCACTCGAAATGAAATGTAAGACTGTTGTAAACCCGACTTTTGCAAGCTGACCAACCTATTGTCGTTTGTTATAGTATTTATCACTGACCTGACAGTGCGCAGATATCCCGGGTGGGAAGGGCTTATGCCTAGGTCCCACTGGGCATTCTTTGCCTCGGTTATGTACTACCGATGGGGGCCATTGGGAGAAAATTTGTTTATTTCCACATCGCCGATGATTTTTTCCCCAGTGGGACCTTGACAATAACCCATACTTAAAGATGGGTTCCCGGTACCAATCTAGTTAAAACACAGATCCTATTTCGTTTCGTTTTTATAATTCAAAATTTCGTTTTACTTGTCTTTACTACACTTGGATATGGAAGAGTTGTTATTTAATACCCCCGTCAGACCGAGGTGACGTCCTTACTACGCTGCTACGGAGACGGAAAATGGCCTCAGAGGGCGTCAAGATCGCCATAAGCGTGGTAATAGCGTGGTGGAAACGCCACTAATCGTGCTGTGGTCTCTATGGTCGCCAATGACCGCCGAGTCATGGCGTATATTTTGAGCACGTTAAAAACAAACGCCAAGGTTCTGCAATCTGATCAGGAAAGCTGTGAGAAAGCAACTTTTTTCAAGTTTGTAATTTTATTTGACATTCACGTTTGCCGGCGACCTTGTGCATTTTCTTGTCGCCGTACGGTCGCAGCAGAGCAGTAAGGACGCCTACCCGGTCTGACGGGGGCATAACTCGTGTTCTGAATGGTGTCAGGGATAAGCCAATGAAACGGTCTGTTACGGCGAACTTTAGGCGTGTTTTTCACGGAACTGTGGGTAATCCACTAGTAACATCAATGCTGATTGGTTAATCAAATGTCTGACGCCATAGGGTCATAAGTCGGTCTTTTGACCCCTGACGTGACCTATCGCTATAACTTGTCAGATCTTCATGTAGTGTAGGCCATCGAAAGTATATAAAAACGAAACGAAATATAGATCTGTATTTTAATCAGCTTGCTCTCTTGGAAGTGAGACGAGAATTCATTGCATACATAAGACGATGCTGTCTTTAATCGCTTACTATTTATTAGAAATATCGATTCCTAATTAAATTCTCGGATTATCCACTACCCTCGTCTTTTTCCGTCATTTTTATCTCAGAAAGTGTTGTACTCCTAACTCTTCATAAAGTTTATCAACTTGTACATCAAGCGCTCAATGTTCGCGTGTGACCTTTGACATAACGCGTGCAGAAATTCCTAATCGTCGGGCTGTTGATTAGGGGAACCCTTACATTTTTGTCCTGTATACGCTCCATGAGTGTTTTTCGGGGAATCCAGTATTTTTCTAGTAAGATTGGATATCTCTACCTTCCATATATACCACAATTACCATACTTGTATAGGAAATAACCACCCAATAAATATCTTTTCTGGGAACCCATCTTTAACACAAAATAGGATATTTTGGGGACTAACATAATTATGGTATACGAATAATTAGCTTGCTTGAAGGAGTGGGAGGAAATCAAAGCATTCAGATAGACAAGCGACCTGACTCCATGTCACGCACAAGCTTGGACTTTAACCCATGACACTTGAATATAATACCCTTGACCAGCGTTCACATTGTATTTTTATATTAACAGGTTATACAATGAGAAAGATTGAACCAGCTAAGAATTATGACGTAGTGTCATTTGCTCGTGCTATGAATGATGATTTTGCTCCCAGGTTAAAGAAACTGTTTGATATAGAAACAGAGGCCGCCATTGAAGCACAGAGAACCGGTAAATTATATACTTTATATGACGAGTGGATCCCTCATCTCCATACAGTCATAATATACGACCAGTGTCCCGCCCAACTAGATTTATCATTCCCATCAGCATTGTCTCATAAAGCACGATACTTACTGGTGCCAATGGATGAGAATAGCTTTTCATCGAACCACCGAGTTCTTGTATTGTATGAAGTCACAGTGGCTCAGTGATTACTACGCTTGCCAGCTAACCAGGAGGTCGTGAGTTCAATCCCGGTTTTGGCCCAGAAAGTTCCTTTCGATTTTCTAGCGTGGTTTCCCCATTTCAATTCTTTATCTGTCTTCTCTTTAAAGATGGGGAAGCCACGGTGGCCCAGTGAGTAAGCCCTCGGCAGGCTAACCGGAACTTCCCGTGTTCGATCCCTAGGTTGACCGGGAAAGCTCATCGGGACTTTCCGACGTAATTTCCTCATTGCCAGTGGTGCAGGACGGAGGGCCTGACAAGGACAGATGTCTAGTTGTTCGGATGTGACGAAAAAACCGAGGTCCCGTGTGTACATTAGCCTGCACATAAAATAACCCTTGGCAGTTGAAATTGGAAATAAGAGTAGGCCGTAGCGTAGCTGTCCGGGCAAACTTTTCCCCACAGCACACTGCATGGCAAATGCCTGTCTTCATTAGCCCAATAGCTGCAGAAAATTAGGACATTAAACCCCTTTTTATTTCATTGCATAAAAGATGCCTTAAATGGACTGTCTGCACGTGTCGGTTTAATGCAACGAGGTAAAAATAGTTCACCATGATTTAGCTTATTACGCTAAAACTCCTTGCTTAAAAAAAAAAAAGCCAGGGATTTGAAACAAGTTGAAATATTAGGGCCTCGGTGGCTTAAGACAATGCTTGACTCAATGTTTTGTTTTGTTTCAGGAATCTATATAGGATGGCGATGTCCAGAATTTAAACATGATTGTCAAAGATTAACCAGACATTCTAAATGTTTCTGTGGCCATCTGTTAGCTGAGCACAATAAATACACAGGTAAGTCCCAAGGCGGGCAGGGTGGCTGAATGGTTAACACGTGCGCGTGGTATCATAAGTTCTGTCATTGAGTCAACTCGCGTGGTTTCGATTCCCCGCTTGTACGTGACAAGGAGTAGGGTCGCCTGTCCAACCTCGTAGGTTTTCTCCAGGTCCTCTAGTTTCACCCCACTCCTCTCTCTCTCCTCTAGACCAACACCGGGATCGAAACCTGGACCTCCTGGTTAGTGAGCTAGCGCCTTAATCACTGAGCCACTGTGCTTGGGAATGCCCTCATGTGTATACTGACGTAGTAGAAATGTATTACAGCACGGTATTGTGTATGACGCAGTGGCTACAACTTGTTTCGAGGGCGGGGGTGGGGGTGGGGGTGGCTGAATGGTTACCGTGTGTGCGCTGAATCATGAAGTCTGTCATTGAGTCAACTAGCGTGGTTTCGATTCCCCGGTTGTACGTGACAAGGAGTAGGGTCGCCTGTCCAACCTCGTGGGTTTTCTCCGTGTCCTCCGGTTTCCTCCCACTGCTAAAGACCCCTACACGCAAGCGTTAAACCATATTTTAGTCCCGAAATGACCTAGTTTGTGTCGAGTGGACGTTAAACCCTCAGTAGTAATGTTAAAACATGCCATAATATTATGGTCACCAACAAACCTACACAGCTCTACACTTCTTAAGTGCACCGTTTGAAAACTCTGATTCTCAAATTCGTAGGCTATCAGAAAACGAGTGTTTACTTGGATACTGTGGAAGCCTGTGGCGTATAGTTTTAATCACAGACACGGATTTTAATAATAAAGATGCAATAATCTATAATCAATCATACATGGTTTAAATGTAATATTTAATCAGGTCGGAGTGTTCGAGTTCCATGCCAACAATGTTCCTGTAAAGCATATGCCTGGATTCCTGCTAGACCGGAAGAAATCGGAGAATTTTGGCACCAAAGACGTCGTGATTTTGAGCCCGCGTTATGGCGAGCCAAATGCAAATGTAAACACCATCATGAACAGCATGACCCTAATACAAGTCACAGGTGTAAAGTGTCAGGTTGGTTTCATGTCACTCTTAAATTCTCTGTATATGGAATATATATCACGTAAAATGTTTGAACTGAAATAGAAATGAAATGAAATGGGGTTTAAAGTAGCTAAGTCTTTAACTATTGACCAATTGAAACCAACATTAATGTTATCTTACCCTGAAAAGATGGGTTTCTGGTATCCAATTTTTAGGACACAATGAAAATTTTATCCTCGCGTGTCAGAATAAAGTGATGAACGAGGCTAAACATTAAGACTACCGGAATAGACTAGAATAAACAGAAGCCAAAGTTTGCCATTCAATTTGGACTCTTCGCGTATTTTGCCGAACATAACTGATTAAAAAATTCAGTAAAAAACAGAAATGGTTGAATGTAAATCAGTTTATATACATCCATATTACATTATTATATGCCTTGCGAGCCACTTGTGTCCATTTCTGGGTGCCAACGAATAGCGATTTAGCTCCTTTAAGGTTCTACCCACTGTTCTGCACAGTTTCACGACCTAGTTTCTGCACAGATTGGTCTAATGATGTCAGATACATGCCATCCCAGACGTAACCGTGCTCATGCCATCCCAGGATGTTTGAGATGGGTTTGTCTTGTCAGTATAGTGCCGGGTAGATCGACAGGGAAGGAAAAGCGTCTAATAGCTTGAATGAGACGAAAAACTGAGGTCCTGTGTATAACATTGGTAGCTGGATAAAATATCCCGTTGCATTTAAACATTGAAATAAGATACAACCGCTTATAGCGCAGATGGCTGGTCAAGATATCCTTAAGCACATAGTCCCGTTTCATAAGACAAATGCGGAGGGCCTGACAAGGACAGCTGTCTAGTCGTTAAGATGGGACGAAAAACCGAGGTCCCGTGTATACATTGGAATGCACGTAAAAGATCCCTTGGCAGTTGGAATTCGATATAAGAGTAGGCAATAGTGCCGCTGCCCGGGCAAAATTTCCCTCATAGCACACTGTATGGCGTATGCCCGTCTTCATTAGCCCAGGTTAGGAGCAGAACAGTAGGACGTTAAACCCCATTTCATTTCATTTCATTTTGTAATACAAGGGAAGCTATAATTCAATGTTGTTATATAAATTTCTATTCCACAGGATGCGCATGTGTTCGATTCTTCTCCGACTTCCTGTTTTTTAATGAGATTGTCTAATACAGGGGACGCTATTTGATATCGTTATATAAATCTGTATTCCACAGGGTGTTCATGTGGTCGATTCTTCTCCGACTTCCTGTGTGCAGCTTGTGATCGCCATTGGGAAGTTCATGAAACATTCTTTGAAACAGAAGATATACGTGCTGAAAATGGTCTTCCAATAGGTAATTATTAAAATAACCACGTCCCCTTGGTCCTAAAATAACCACGCCCTTGCTCTTAAAATAGCCACGCCCCTTGCTCTTAAAATAGCCACGCCCCTTGCTCTTAAAATACTTACATGCGTTAGCTTTGTTTGAATTATATGACGGTATTTGTATACAAATGTGTAAAACGTCCATATGTGAGTACATTTGACCGTGTGGCAGCATTTACCCATGTGAATAGTTTACTCATGTATGTAAATTGGCATAGGGTGTGAGCGAGTGCACTTTTTACGTGTAGATTGTTTTCTGTTGCAAATGCTCTACCTTTGTTTGGACTGGCAGTGGTTCTTCATAAATATTTCTGTGAGAAGACAGTTCTCCCTCGGGTCTTCAACAGATGATTGTTTTCCCTCTCATTTTAAGGTTTTCCCACCTGTCCATGTTTACTAAGTACGGGACTAAAGAAATGAAATCGGGTTTAACGTCCTACTGGTCTGCTCGGACTGGGCTTATGAAGACAGGTTATGACGGAAATTTTGCCCAAGCAGTGGCACTATGGCCTACTCTTATATCGAATTCCACTAGTCATATTGGTGCAATTTTGCATGTTATGAAAAATATCGCCGTATAAACAATGTTAATTTTAATTTTCTCCTTCACCAGGTGAGCATTATCTGCCCTTTAATGAGATGCCGAATTTACGGAACATAACACTGACAGGTGATGAAGAAGATGATTCCATGTATCGCGCACTGACTGGAGGTCAAGGGTCAATTCCCCGAAACCAGCGAGCAATAGGAAATGATGCACCAGTAAATTTTGGTGGAGGTAGTTCTGGTAAAAGCGGATTCCGTCCAACTTATGACTAAATCAAATAAACTTAAAGCCGTTGGTCATTCTTTGAAGGATTTTGTATCCCTTATAAACTATATGTACAGAAATGTAAGCATTGAATCTTTAAAGGAGACAAGTCTCTTAACTCAATATCCTCCACAGTCTTCGACATTGCAAACACGACTTATTGATCAATTTAAATCAACACTGATGTTGTTATCTTACTGCGAAAAGATGAGCTTCTAATATCCAATATTTAAGACAAAATGAAAATGTTTAAATTGACAAACGAATCCGTGCCAGATTGTTTTCGAGCGCCATTGGTAATGAAGCGGCTCGGTGAACGAGACTAAACATATCCCACAGGATATTAAATTATACTTTTAAATGGGTTCTTTTCACGCCGTGAATAATTAAATATTGTTTTTGGTTTGTTAAAGATACATTATGTAAGATTTGGATAAAGAGCTGACCGTTCTTGCTATAATAGGTTTAAAATAGATAATGTAAAATGAATATATTGACAATTTCATTCAAATTACTTTATTCTGAACCAAGTTATTACTGTTTGTAGTATTGACTAGATGTGTGCATTGATTGTGTATTATCGTAACCAAGGTACTGGTATATTAGAGGCTTAGCCTAGCTTCCTCACTTTTAAATTAAATCATTAAATGGCGGGACCGTTCTAATCTAGTTAAAATCTCGAGTATCCAACGGCATCGAGAGTTGATTATGGTCTTGGCATGTTAATAAATGTCTAATTAAAAATGTATTTAACATTTAAGGCCCAAAGAAAGACCTGCAATAGATAAATTTAGCTCTTGCATAATGTATGTTTAAACTTTGAATTGAGTAGATATTAAACGGTGATATTATATATTTTTTGATGACGATACCAGCGGCTTTGAAATAGTTTTATCTGTGATAATATACCGTCTATTATTTTAAAATATGTATTTTTAAAGCACACTGTGAAATTGTATTTATATTGTTTTGTCACGTAGCCTACCTATACACTTATTATAATTACCAACATATCATCTTTCTCTATTTTATCCAATGTTCTCTTTAAGCTTTTTTTGTGGATAAATGCAGGTGGGTAGTCTATTTTCAGGACGGATGGGATGACGGGGGAAATCCCCACACCCCGAGTTAGACACCTCATGATATACAGATAGGGGTAACCCTGGGGTAACCCTAATTCTTGCCCAGAATTCATGATAGATGACTCTTCCGTATGGAAATGCCCCCCACCCCTCCAAGACCAGATGGATCTCTTCTTATAGATTAATACAGTGCAAAATCAATCTTGCCGTGATAATGCTACCTCACCCAAATTATGGGGTTAGATCGCAAGGTGTGTCATTGAGTCAGGAGTAGGGTCGCCTACTAGTGGATTTTCGCCGGGTCCTCCCTCTCTCTCTCTCTCTCTCTCTCTCTCCACCACTTACAAGAGGAGACCACGCTGGAAATTCACGGGCAACGTTCGCAACCATTGCTCGGATCGAACCTCGGACCTCCAGGCTAGTGAACCAGCGACTTACTCACTGAGCCACCGTGGCTCACCAATATCAAATAATTACGTCAGAGTATTTTCATGTAATTATAAACAGCTCTATTAATAAATGCTCTATTAAATTTATTTGTAATTGAATTGAAATGCATAATTATTCAATTATATATCTAATCAGAGACTTCCCGTCGATTCTCCGGTTAATATTTGAAGAAGAAAAAACATTTTTATGGTTTTTATTGAAAATCCAGATATTATAAACAATCTTTTATTTGATGTATTCTTTTTTATCTTTATTGATAATCCCCACAGCTTTTTTTATTATTCCAAAGAAAATCGATTTAATGATTTTTTTGTTAATCTGCTGTTAGTCGTCCAAGAAGGAGGGGCTGGTACGGCACATGGTCTAGTCGCTCTGGTACGGCACATGGTCTAGTCGCTCTGGTACGGCACGTGTTCTAGTCGCTCTGATGGTACGAAACTGAGGTCCATATCCGCGCTTGTGTGCACGTAAAATACCCCGTTGAGAGAGTGGCTAGTGGGGGGGGGGGGGTAAATGCGGTTTAACAGGCGACCCTCTGGGAATCGGAACCACGCCACTTGAAAATAAATCCAATGCCAACGTGATAAATCACTCCCCCCCACCCTTCCCCAAGTTCCGATTAGCTTTTATTTCACCTTCCGCTTTGTGTGATTAACCTGTTGTTAGTCGTCCAAGAAGGAGGGGCTGACACGGCACATGGTCTAGTCGCTCTGATGGTACGAAACTGAGGTCCATATCTACGCTTGTGTGCACGTAAAAGACCCCTTGACATAATTCGACAGGCGGAAATTTCCATCACGACAAGGTGCATTGCATACGCCATTTTGTTTTGCTTATCTCTCGATATTGTCGCGCTGTGGTTTCCCATTGTTAATGGTGCAGAACGGTGGACCTGACAAGGACAGCTGTTTAGTCGTTTGGATGGGACAAAAAACCGAGGTCCCGTGTACACATTGGCATGCACTTAAAGATCCCTTCACCATTGGAAGTGTAGGCCGTAGCGCCGCTGACCGGGCCCAATTTCCCTCATAGCATACTGCATGGCGTATGTCCGTCATCATTAGCCCAGTCGAAGCAGAAGGACGATAAACCCCATTTCATTTCATTTCAATTTCGATTTGATCGGGGTAACAAAGATTGATTGGATTGGAGAACTAATAGGTAATCAGTTTAAAGTAGCTAAGTCTCTAACTCAATATCATCCAAAATCTTCGACATTGAAAACACGAATTAATTGTCGGTTTAAATCAACATTGATGTTGTGATCTTACCGGGAAAAAGATGGGCTTCTGATATCTGATATCTAATATTTAAGACACAATAAACATTTTACAATTGGTACACGAATCGTGTACCATAATGTGTATCAGCGCTATTGGTAATAAAGGACTCGAAAAACGAAGCTAGGCACATTCCACAAGTCATGTCAAACGGTGACGCTATATTCTTATCTGGAAGCATGCGCAATAAATACTATCGGCGTAGGCTGGAATAACCAGACGCTACACTGTAAAAAATATCCATTTTTTTATGTGGCCGAATTCCGTAATTTAACACCTTTTTTCTGTTAATCGATGGATTTTTTGGAGAAATTGTGTTAATTGTCTGAATTATTTCTTCAAATTACGTGTTTTATGTATTTCTGTGGAATATTCAGTATTAAACAGGAAATTTCCGTGAAATTTAGGGATAAAATGTTTTATTCCCTTCTGTAACGGACTTAATTCTGTTATTTTACGGAATAAACGGTGGAATGACAAGGAAGTTCCGTGAAATTTAGGGATAAAATGTTTTATTCCGTTCTGTAATGGACTTAATTCTGTTGTTTTACGGGATAAACGGTGCAACGATAAGTAATCGTATACATATATAATCATTCCTAATAATCATCATGTTATAGTATTCATTTCAATTTATTAACCATAATATGAAGAATCATATTTTGTAACGTTTGGTATATTAATTGACATGTATATCTATTTTCCATTATTTATAAGATCTATAAAGTGTATTGTTATTCATCATACGGTAATCAGATTGTAAGTATTTTCATAAATATGTAAAAGTATGTTTTAATGCTGTGGGTGTTAAGGTTGTAATATCTGGTAATCAAGCACGCAAAAGTCCGGATAGTACAACCGGTTGGCCAGTGTAAGTCGGTTTGTCTCTATGGCAGAGTCTGCATACCTGCGAATTGATAATACCGCAAACTTACATCTGAAAGCCTCCAACCACTGACGAGTAGCGGTTTGTGATACCTTGCTCTCGATTCTTATAATAGCGAAAAGAGGTTACGTTTAAAAATTATTTGCGATATCACTTCGGTGGAAGCGGACGTTAAATAAAGCTATTTCACGCACGCGTATAAAGTCAATGGTTAATTCAATGAAATTTTTATCACCTTTATGGTCAGGAAACAAAATTTACCAGGATTTTTTTTTCTGTATTTGAAAATGGAATTTATGTTAATTGAAGGAATTTCTGTAAATTACAGGAAAAACAAATACGGATAAAATTTTCCTGGTAATTTTTGTTTCCGGAATTTTTTACGTTTTTTCACGGAAATTTTTGTTACAGTGTAGAGATTTCCATTCGATTGAGACTTCGATTAGAAATTACAGAAAAAATAGAAACGATTGATTGTAAATCAATTTATATACATTCATATTATATTATTGTATGTGTTGCGGCCCATTTGTGTCAATTTCTAGATCCCAAATATTAGCGATTTAGCTCCTTTAAGTGAATGATACGCTGTTTTTAAACATAACAGGTATATCGATCTACTTACTTCACTCGAGTTAGGGAAATCTCCAATAGCCATCAATCGACATTCAACGCACACTCTATGTTCATACACGTTGGGAAACGACACGTTCTTCTTTCGTTGATTAAATCAAAGATGAATTATATATTTATATATCTAATAATTATACTGAAAATGGTGGAGAGTCTGAGATATTCGGATTTTTCAAAAACGAATATCATTATTGATAGTTGTACTTCTGATAATCTTATCAAAGATATACAAGTTGACCACCGTCTCCAATGTTCCCTGGCCTGTTCACAAGATATGGCTTGTCGAGGATATCTTTATTGTGAATCCGATTTATCATGTAAACTGTATCATGATGGCACAGATTGTATTTTACCTGATAATTCTGGACAATGTTCATGTTTTAGAAAGGTAAGTGTTATAATAATTTATAGCAATAATTAATGTTTTGACTTTTTCATAATTCCAATTTCAAAGGAAATGAAATGAAATGAAATGGGGTTTAACATCCTACTGTTCTGCTCCTAACCTGGGCTAATGAAGACGGGCATACGCCATACAGTGTGCAAAGAGGGAAATTTTGCCCGGGCAGCGGCACTATCGCCTACTCTTATATCGAATTCCAACTGCCAAGGGATCTTTTACGTGCATTCCAATGTATACACGGGACCTCGGTTTTTGGTCTCATCCGAAGGACTAGACAGCTGTCCTTGTCAGGCCCTCCGTGCTGCATCACTGACAAGGGGAACCACGCCGGAAAATCTGGATGAACTTTCCCGGCCAATGCAAGGATCGAACACCCGACCTCCAGGCTAGCGAGCCAGCGCCTTACCCACTTAGCCACGTGGTCCCCCAATTTCAAAGGAAATGGGGAATAATTTATAATTTATTAAGGGGTGAGGGAGTGGGGTATATAAAGATTACTTTTTTCAGTGTTATTTAGAAAATGAAATGGGGTTTAACGTCCTACTGTTTTGCTCCGAACTGGGCTAATGAAATCGGGCGTACGCCATACAGTGTGCTATGAGGGAAATTTTGCCCGGACAGCGGATTATTCAGATTTATCTAATCGGCGGACGGGGGGGGGGGGGGTATTTAAAGTGTGGAGAATTATTTCAAAGGGAGCACAGTTAGAGTTATTCAAAGGGGCTAGTAATGGGGAATTATTCAGAATTATTTAAAGTGGGGAGCCTTAAAGATTTAGACCCATAGTTATTGCAGTTTGTAATTTTCTTATTATCTAGTTTTAAATTACGTCCCATGTTAAATGCGTGCGAGTTGTCTGTTATTTTTAACAATTCACAACACGGAATTTTCAAATTAATTCCTTTTGAAAGGCATAATAATGCAGACCAAAACTTACTTGAATATGGCCCCTGATTGTACGAAAAGTCTCGGGTTTTTTTTCTGGCCTGTTCTCTTCTATCTCTTGCAAAATGTGGGAATCTTGCATGGCAACCGCTAGTTTATAACCTTTTTTTAAATTTCTGATCAGTCCATTAAATTGAATGGCAGTCGCTCGCGCCTAGCTAGTCTGGATCGGACGTACGATTTGGCATTTCACTTACGTTTCACCTCGTTCATCAAGGCGACTCATTCCAAAGCGCGCTGGACACAAAGTACACATCGGCGTGCACTTGTTTTATAAAGTGTTCACTGTGTCTTAAATATTTGATATAAGAAGCCCATATTTTCACGCTAAGGTAACAACATCACGTTTGATTGGAATGAACTAATAATTCGTGTTTGTAATGTCGAAGAATCTTGGTACATTGAGTAAGGGCTTTGTGCTCTTTAAAATGACATATATTCTTACGGCGGGTGGGACGAGATGGAAAAAATATTTGCCCCTATAGATGACCGACTTGATGTTTTCCGGGTTAACTCCTTGATTCTGATACTAAAATATTTGTATTATTTGAGGATTTATAATCCTAATTAAAAGAGATTATTATTATATTCCAATGTCATTCGGGTGGCTAAGTGGGTAGGACGCTGACCCGCTAGTCTGGAAGTCGCGTGTTCGATCCCTGCATTGGGCGAGAAAGTTCATCGGGAATTTCCGACGTGGTTTCCCCTTGTCAGTGGCGCAGGATGGAGGGCCTGACAAGGACAGCTGTCTAGTCGTTCGGATGGGACGAAAAATCGAAGTCCCGTGTATACATTGGCGTGTATATAAAATATCCTTTGGCACTTGGAATTCGATATAAAAGTAGGCCATAGTGTCGCTGCCCGGGCAAAGATTTCCCTCATAGCAGAATGTAAGGCGTATGCCCGTCTTCATTAGCCCAGTCAGAACAGAACAGTAGGACGTTAAACCCCATTTCATTTCGTTTCTTTTTACAGGATATAATCGATTCCAATTTTATTATGTTTACATTTATAGTATTTATTCCAATATTATTTTTTTTACAGATGATAGGATGTTATAACGGAACATGTACCTGTCCCCTTGGTTACTATGGTGACACGTGTCAATATATTGTAAAAGGTTTGATTTGATTCTAATATTGGTTTTATTTCATTTTATAACATGGGCACGTATCAATTTTAAAGTTGTCCACTAAAGCTGTAACACCTATGCAAAAACATCGTTTATGTTAGGTTCCCACTATCACGTGGCTAAGTGGGTAAGGCGCTGGCTCGCTAGCCTGGAGGTCGGGTGTTCGATCCCTGCATTGGCCGAGAAAGTTCATCTCGATTTTCCGGCGTGGTTTCCCCTTGTCAGTGATGCAGAACGGAGGGCCTGACAAGGACAGCTGCCTAGTCGTTCGGATGGGACGAAAAACCGAGGTCCCGTGTACACATTGGCGTGCACGTAAAAGATCCTTTGGCAGTTGGAATTCGATATAAGAGTAGGCCGTAGCGCCGCTGCCCGGGCAAAATTTCCCTCATAGCACACTGTATGGCGTATGCCCGTCTTCAATTAGCCCAGGTTAGGTGCAGAAGAGTAGGACGTTAAACCCCATTTCATTTCATTTCATTTCATCACGATTGGCGCTACGATTGAGATCGCGGTCGTGCTGATCCTAACAGGTCTTACAATATTGTGGTCAGCCATAGCAATCGTGTTGATCGTATTGAACGTATCCTAACGTTTCTGCACGTACCAGATCGTGAACTCAATAGGAACAACCCCATCGTAAAAAATCGCACGGCAGTGGTAACCTAGAAGTACGGTCCTTCGTTAATACACAAATGCATAATATACATGTAATCATGTTTTAAAAGTTTGTAGTAACACGATAATGTAACTAACCAAGTTTTACATATATCCATTAGTAACTTGTCTTGTAACATACGGTCCATCGTTATAAACAAATTAATAATGTCATATATTCTATTAAGAACTCTTTATTGCATCGCTTGCACATTGTACTGATTATTCACACTATCCAGTTAATGTGCATACGTACTATTGCTAACATAGTTTTTATTGTTTTGTTGTTTTGGGGTTTGTTTTTTTTTTATTAAATACGGCTTTTATTCGGTTGTGGTTTTGGGCAGGTCCCGGGTTCGATCCCGGTAGTGGCCGCGAAAGTTCCTCGGACTTTATGAGTCTCGGTTTCTCTTGCTTGTGGTGCAGGATGGAATTCCCGGCAAGAAATTATCGTCTATTCGTACGGATAGGACAGAAACCCAAGATTCACCTGTGTGTACAAAATAACCGTAGTGACCAATAGGCGGAAACGCCGCTGTGCTGGAGAAATTCATCTCATAGCAAAACGGATTGGTGTATATCCGTCTTCATTAATCCGCTTGGTGAATACAATCAGGACGTTAAACACTATTTCATTTATTTTAGGTAAAGTAAAAATCAATGGAGAATTTAATTTACAGATCTTTTTAAGATATAAAAGTGACGTCGGATGTTCTGGAAAGAGGAAGCATACCCTACCGCGTATTAAATTATTCATATGTTTATCCCAGATTGCGAGCCGCGGTGGTTCAGTGAGTAAGACGTTGACTCGCTAACCAGGTGGTCTGGGGTTCGCCCTTGGTGTTAGCCGAGAAAGTTCATCGCGATTTTCCGGAATGACTACCCCTTGTCAGCGGTGCGCGACGGAGGGCCGGCAATATACAACTTATAGTCTTACATATACGGATTGGACGAAAAACTGAGATTCCTTGTACACATGCCATGTACGTAAATGTTACCTTGGCAATTAGAATTCGAAAAAAGAGTAGGCAGTAGCGCCACTGTCTGGGTCAAATGTTCCTCATAGCTTACTGCATTGGGTATGCCCGTTTTCGTTAGCCCAGTCGGAGTCGAAAATCAGGACGGTAAACCCTATTTTATTTAATTTTGTTTCATTTCAGATTGCCATGATGCGTTTAATATGAATCTCTCCAATGGTTACCTGACAAACCTGTTGACTTATATCAAACCTGATATAACACCAGTTGAAGTCGTGTGTAATTATGGGGATCGTGGAATAATGGCCTTCATGCATCGTGACAATTCCTGTATATTCACAAACTTCAACAGAACCATGCAGGAATATATCAATGGTTTTGGACCCGTTCCAAGAAACAGATGGGTCGGTCTGGAGACGATGTTCCATATAATGAAACAGCCAACTAAACATTGGGCCATCATTTTTGTTTCAAAGAGGGCCGATTCCTTGCCGACTTATTATTACGATGTCACATGTCAGGATGCGACCTTGGGTTATGAACTTAATTTTGTAACTAGTGGACACGGGGCTGGTGTGTGTAGCAGCTGTATGCAGGAGCTTCGCGGAAACCGATTCTCAACCTTTGACCAGGACAACACGGGAGCCAATAACTGTGCTAAACGTTTTGGTGGTGGATGGTGGTTTGGCAATGATATCAATTGCACCATAAGTTTTTTAACTGGTCCCATGGATGGACCCGGTCAAAATAATCACTTAATAGATACACCACCTAGTAGTCAGCCATTCTTGTATCTTCAGATACGGCTTCAAAAATATCGATAATATACTCTTCAAAAAAAGTAGGGGATATTCAGAAATAATACAAAACTGCGAAAATGCACTGCTGTTTTTATTAGATGTAACCAGTGTATGTTAATAACAGGCCAATTGCCTACACATGAACATAAACAGTTTATTTGGGCGGCTTATCGGACGGCCCCATTTCACTCGCAAAGCGATACACCGTCAAAAGTGAAAATGGACGTTTTCGATTTTTGTCTTAATAATGAGTAATTGCTCCACCAATCCTTAGACATTCAGCAATTCGTCGTGGTATGCTCCTAATCAACCGTCCAATCACGATTGGGGCAATCTGACCCACTCCTCTTGCAGTGCCACGGCCAATTCTTGCCTACACATGAACATAAACAGTTCATATGGGCGGCTTATCTGACGGCCCCATTTCACTCGCAAAGCGATACACCGTCAAAAGTGAAAATGGACGTTTTTGATTTTTGTCTTAATAATGAGTAATTGCTCCACCAATCCTCAGACATTCAGCAATTCGTCATAGCATGCTCCTAATCAACCGTCCAATCACGATTGGGGCAATCTGACCCACTCCTCTTGCAGTGCCACGGCCAATTCTTGCAGTGTTGTCGGTTGACGTTGACGTCGACGAACACGTCTCCCGATCAAATTAAACGTAACAAACTAAAGCAAAGATACACTAAACAGTAAATCTTATGCAAGAACCGACAGGAAAGCAAATATGGATAGATAAACCAGCACATGGCAGTTTTCATCAACCCTTCCTTGAAGTGTCAAATTTGACAATGAACTCTCCCACGTGTATGGGGCTATTGCGTGTCGCATGTGCAGCTCAGTGGTTCTGTTGGGGCGGTAAGTTCTTTATCTGTGAACATACTCTCAAAGCATGTCGAATGTCCATGACTATTTATCATATCGCAACCTGCATTGGTATTTGCATTTCAATATCCCCTACTTTTTTTGAAGATAATATCATTTATTCACGCAATTGATAGCGTTTTCGTGGGTTTGATTTACATTACAAATGTAAAGTAGTGATGGGTTGCAGTTGTTGTTGTAGTTGCTGTTGTTATTGTTGTTGTTTACAAATTTAACGTCCACTACATTATACATGATATTATGGACAGGCTGATTTAGTCCAATTATTTACATAAGGATTAATAATCGAGAAAATAGTTAAAACATGTAAAACAGTTCCTGTATATCAAAATGTCACTTTAAAACTCGGCGCTAAAATTCGATGTCGTGAGAAGAGACTGTGGGTCATCTTCTCCCCTTACAGAAAATCACACAATTCTGATTTTTGATTCAGAGTCTAGTCCTTAAACTGCAGTTCCAGACAGTTCGCTCATCTAGGCGCTACTTGTCGTTATTTTTCGAGCTTTTACTACGGTTATCCCGTGTATTTAATATCGCGGCTGTGACTGAGGCTTTTAACATCCCCGATTAAAAATGACAGTGATAAAATTATCAATACCTTTGCTAATCACTAGAATTATAAATGCTGTTTCATTTGAATCTGTCTCCAATTATCATGCCCAAGTGAACTAGGTTGTTTTGCTATATATTACTACAATCCTATGTATTTGGCCTAGAAAACAAGTTCCTTATCTAGTTCCTTTGCTATATATCACTATAATCCTATGTATTGGGCTTCGAAAACAAGTTGCTTATCTAGCCCGATGATGTATGACCCATCAACAACAATCCACTTTATTATTTTGTACATAAATCGATTTTGATTCAGATTGTTGGTATTAAATGTTTAATTACACTAGAATGGTGTGTGTATATATTTATATATGATAACTATTAATTAGGTGTGATTATAACTAATGCACCATAAGATCAGTCAATTTAAACATTTCAGGTCTTAGCCAATTTCACTGATTATTAATCGGGCGCTATCTGCCGCAGTTATTTTCGGGTCTGGTGAAAATGATACAGCCCCCCCCCCCCCCACTCCCAGTCCCAAAACAATCGACCCGCGCGCCTGCGGTCAGTAGTGCAGTACTGTACAGGAGGCCTGCCAAGAAACGTCGCCTAGTCTTTCGGTGGGATTAAAAATCGGGTCCCCGTGTAAACGTTGACGTGAATATAAGCAAAAACCATTGACAAATGGAATTCGAAAAAAAAGTGCTCGATTTGGACTAAAACCCAAGGTGAACGCGTGACATTTCTCTCTCTCTCTCTCTCTCTTTCTCTCTCTCTCACACACTCTCTCTTCACTCTCTCTCTCTCTCTCTCTCTCTCTCTCTCATATTGCCCCCCCCCACACCCCCACCCCCACACCATGTAAACAGAACTATATGTGACACTGGTTTTTCTTTACAATAGGCTTTATTAGTAATAATGTCGTTACATGAGAGATGTGCTTAATCTACACACAACATTCAATTATTTACATTCATAAATAATAAATAAACTGAAAGTAGACATAGCCCCAGGCAAGTCAGCATTGTAACCTGTACAAATTGTCAAAAAAAAACGTGCATTTCATATCAACTGCCAAGAACCACATTTGAAATAAACCAGTGAACATTGCATAATTTTTACTGGTTTTCATGCTTTATCCGTAGACCATTTATGATTTTCTTTTTGATTTTATTTCTATTGTCATGAATGTATCTGTTCTTAGAATAATAAATAACGATATAAAAATCAATAAACATCGGCATTACTCGAAATGTTTTTAAGTTACATTAACGACTGGTGGTGCTTGCTATAATAGTACAAAAATATCGTTCGTGACCGAAGTTATCAGGCTTCGAAGTGCTTGTAATATAGTCTCGATTGTCAAATACCGCTGGTACGATAATAAATACAGTCTTAAATTATTAAATGGCGATCGTGTTTCAATCCATTGAAAATTGCGACCATCCGATGACCAAGAGAGTTGATTATGGGCTTGTCATGTAAATAAATGTCTAACATTTGATTTCAAAAGAAAAACCTGCCATAGATCTCACATAATACATCTTTAGTATACCACTGCTGTTATCTCGACTTCTTACAGCGAGGGGTCGGGAGCGGAAAATTAAGAGACGGTAAGTCGATTGGCGCGAAGTCGAGAAGGCAAGGATTTTCAAACGCGAGAAAGCAAGAAGTTGTCAGTTAAGAAGTCTAGGATGAAGGAGTAAGAAGTTAAGATTGTCAAAAAGGTCGGAACAGGTTTCCATAGTTTACAGTAAGCAACATTATAGAAAAATAAACAGTTTATGTGTAGTTTAATGGTCGCGGGCGGGACATTAAAGGGACTATCCCGATTTGAACAGAGTCTCAAAAATAAAAGTCCGAGTAAGTATGGAATTTAAGCACTAAAATATAGAGGAGTGGTGTATTTACCATGTCTCAAAATTCTATCTTAAAATATTGAGTCGTTTGGATGTGAACGTCAAAACTGCTTATCCGGACACGTAACCCTTTTAAGATATCGGGTCAATTTCTTCGTTGGGTGACCTGATAATCGATTCCCGTTCATTTAGAGGACTATACAGTGATTGACCTATGTGCTGTACTTGATAACGAAAGGTAAATTTCACCTACACATTATTTTCATAAAATAAAAGTCTGGTTTTATCCAGACACAGTATAATACAAATTGGGACACCGGTCTCTATTTCCAGATGGCGATTGACATTTTAAGTTGTTTGAAAACGTATCCCATATACTGAGTTAGTTGCTCGGCCCTAAGGTAGAGGATTTTAAGGGATTTTAACACAAAATTAAGCAATTTTATTCTCCAAAATATTATCGGGATTGGCCCTTTAAGTAAATATATTGATATTGCACGAGTGTGTTAGCACGAGGACGATAACTATATATTACGCAAGGTCTTGCACGAGACCATTAAACAACTTACAATACCAGCACGGGCATTTTAATGAAATACGCCACGCGGGTATAATATTTCAACTAGTATAAATAATGTACACTTGGCACATTGCCATATGAGTCTGGTATGAATATTACCGTTTTAAGGTACAGCTATGGCAATTTGTAAACCCTACCCAGGGCTACTCTTAATTTAAAAAAAAATAAAATAAAAATGAGAGTCAAACAAAACAATGCTCAATGGTAGTAAACTTAATTAAAAAATCTAATGTAAAATATATTCTATTCAAAACACTATGATTAACAATAAATAGACAAATAAATACTAAAAAAACATGACGCCAACGTGATGCGAATTGATGATATAATTTTATTTTTTTAACTGCTTTACAACTATTGATATTTTCTTATTACACTTTTTTAGAAAACGGGGATAATGACGATGTTCTCTTGAACTGCTTCTCAATTATTGACATTTCCCTATTACTCTTTTTTTTAGATTATGGAGCTATTGACGATGTTTTTGTATCAACATATTTTCTCCCTTGACTTTCAGTACAGTAAGTTTTTTAAGCACTTACGTTACATTTAATGGTTTAAAACAAAAACAAAGTGTGGGCAGATAATTATTATTATTTTCGAAGGCAGCACAAAATGATAACGTATTTAAACAGTTGTGATAATTCTATAAATGGTCACATGCTTTAGAAAAAATATTTAATAATCCAAAACAAACAAATTACATTTATTTGTTTTAAGCATAAACAAAGTGTAGGCAGCTAATGATATTTATTTTATGATCAGTAGTGGAATACCGCGTTTTATCAGTGAAATAAATGTGTTATTCCACTGAGTTGTTTTTACCTAAAATGATTGTAAAATTATAAAATAAATAGAACATTTGTCGTTTTGTCGTGAATAACATATTTTATTTCATCTCTAAGCAAGAAAACGTTTATATTTTCACGAATGCGAGTTTTCTTGCTTCTCGATGAAATAAAATATGTTATTCACTCTTAAAACGACAAATATCCTCTATTTATTTGAGACAACACTAAAAAATAATGATGAAGAAGGTAAATATCAAACTCAGATGTAAAATAATATACAAAAAAAACCCCAAATAGTGGGAACATAAAAACAATATTACGGTATAGTCTATTAAAGATACATTATGGGAGATTAGATAAAGAGCTGGCAGTTCTCACTATAATAGTTAAAAACTATATCCTGTAAAGGGAATTTTCTGAAAATTTCAGTCAAATTGATCCACTATGAACCGAGATTTTAGAGATTGAATTTTCCGCCTAGCCTCTATCATCATTACTAAAGTCGGTAGGATTAAAAATAAACATAGTCTCGATTATCTATCTCATGATTAAATTATGAATGGAAGTCGAACAGCAAATCGGAACCTAATCCAATAAACATCACATTCTAGCGATGCCATCGAGAGTTGATTATGGTCTGGATAAATTAATTAATGTCTAATTAATAATTGAGTTAACATTTCAGGCCTAAAGAAAGGCCTGCAATAGGCAGATTTAGCTCTTGCATAATGTATGTTTAAACAATGGCAAAATTCAGATCAGACACTTAAAGATACATTATGGGAGATCAGATAAAGAGTTGGCAGTTTGCTCTATAATAGTTAAAAATAAGAGGATATACTGAAAATTTCAGTCAAATTACTTCACTCGGGACCCAGAAAACCTTATTAGCCTCGATTGTCATTGTTACCGCTGTAACTATAATAAAGGAAGTCTCGATTATCCATTTTTGTGGTTAATCATCAGTGGGCGTTGGACAGCAGACCGGATTTAAATCTAATAAAAATCGGACAAATAAGATGGCATCGATAGTTGATTGTGGTCTTGTCATGTGAATTGATGTCTAATTAATAGTTTATATAACATTTCTGGGCTACAGAAAGACCTGCGATAGGCAGATTTAGCTCTTGCATAATGTATGTTTAAGGTATACGAACAGTTAAAAACCCTATCTCGAATATTCGGGTTATGTAGAATAAAGTAGAACATTGGTCATAGTGTAACTGAAAGTTTGTGTTTAATTTTGTAAAATTTAAAGTTAAAAAGTTCGAGTTTGAAATTATAAAGTTTTAACAAAGTTTACACTTAATATCAAATACAGTTTTCGTGCTCATGATAACGTTTTTAAACAAAAGGCTATAAACCCACATTGCGCATGCACCATTCCTCACCAGAAGCAAAAGCAGAAATGACTAGAATATAATATAATAATAAACCATTTATAAACACTATATTTACACGATATGTACAAACACTATTTTAGTTGAACAAAACAACTCACTCGTATTATAACATTTCTCGTTCCAACAAAGAAAACTAATTTCGAACCTGTGTCAGCGTCATTTAGGAACTGTCTGCACCACAGTAACCAAGCTATCCCAACCCTATAAAACGTTCTCATTATAAATTTAAAGCATTTAGAGTTCAAATTCAAATTTCGATCATTTATCAGATATAAAAAGTTAAAGTCGCTGGTCATCATTTGAGTGGCTGAGGAATCCCTCGTAAACTACAATAATGAGAAAGTTGAACCTTTAAAAGTCATATCAGTATGATTAAAACACAGTTCCTATTTCGTTTCGTTTTTCATAGTTCAAAATTTAGTTTTACTTGTCTTTACTACATTACATGTAGCAGAGGCCATCGAAAGTATAAAAAAAACCCGAAACGAAATATAGATCTGTATTTTAATTGGATTGAGTATTTTACAAAGATATGATAAATTAAAAATTTGTTAACATTCTGGATATATTGCAGACGATATATAGGATGTGGCCAACACAAGCCAGCGCCACCTATGATTTCCGAAAGAAATCTTTTGATGGCCCTCATTTTAATCCTCTTGAATCCAAATCAGGAGATTATCTACCGTTGATATTTCGATTGGGTTTTCTTAATTAAATGTATAATATCTAATTTTAGTACATCTTAGCGTGAATTGTCCAAAACTTGACATATGCACACTTCAAATATTCATAAGCCATTTTCTTTTTTATTCACGACTAAAAATTAAAATTTATGGATTCTTTTAACTTTTCGTTTTGGAGATAAATCCTCGAAACTGCCATTATAGAAAATTACCGAAAGATATGATACATTTTTTATTATTTCGACCAATAGACCCTTTTAACTATTTTTTCTTTAGAGATACGCCTCGAAACAACTGCAATTATAAAAAAAAACAATCGCCGAAGGATTTGATCTAAATTCACCTAAGCTGTTAAATAAAATAAAATTATCTACAAATAGTTTTTATAATGATTTGAAATGTAAAGACGGATTAATTAGGATAGTCTTTGACGAATAACGTCTGAATATACAATGTTTTAATTTATTCAATGATACTAGGGGAAGCTAATAGATGATCTCGTTGCGTCGCTGACCAGAGATGCGGCGGAGGAATATTCACTGGTGTCTGGTGGCTCCGATACGTGATGCGGCATATCCGTCCACCCCGATCGTCGTATATACAATCTGAAAAGAAAATTGAAATTTAGGTAATTTCAACACACATTGTAAACTATTGTGAATAAACAAACACTATATAGCAGTGAAATAAGGAAAATTAAATGGGCGGATTCTGGAAAATTGAGCTATAACAGCTCGGGGTAAATTACAGGAGAAAATGGAATCGGATGTCATGGAGCGATACGCATGTCGGATCTAAAAAAATGCATAGACTACGCAGAAGCGTTGAATAGTATACGCCAATGGGTACATCTGCTTTACACGAATATTAAAGGGCAATGTTGCTGTCCACAAATTTTCCATGAGTGATAGAACTTGTTAAGCAGAATCGAAATATAATTTTAACATAGAGATACTGTTGATTTATAACAAAGATTAGACGAATCCAGAAACCGCGTAAATAAAGGAAAGCAGTTATTGTTAACGACTAAAGCAGACAGAGGTAACAGTTATATCACGTATGGAAAATTCGTGGACATAAACATTGTCTTTTGAGTAAACATTCTACCTTTGCTGCCTACAGGCTACCGATGTTAAAACTGCTGCTACCAGGAAGACAGTTCCCACGGTAAGACCCAGGATAGCTGGCCAATAACGACTAAACACAGTCTTTAGGTTCATCTTCCGCACTTGCAGTCGTAAATTCCTGGCCTCAGAGCTTCCGGGCAATCCGAAATCTAAGAAACCGTCACTTGAATTAAAGTCACGTGGTTGTGGGATGTACAATCCTCCATTAGGGACAATTATACGGGGACCATTATTAGCTCCTGGATCATTGTTGATTGTGATGTTCACCGGTCTTTTAGGAGCAGCAGGTTTTCTGTTGGTGGTGTTAGGAAGATCTGTGGTGGTCGTTTTTAACGTTGTGGTACCTGCTGTAGTTTTCTTCGACGTTTTCTTCGTGACTTTCTTCTTGGATTTCTTCGTTGTTTTCTTGTTTACTTTCTTGGTTATTTTTCGTGTTGTTGTTGTTGTTGTTGTTGTTGTTATTGTTGACGTTGTCGTTGGTTTTTGTGTCGTTTTTGGTTTCTGTGTCGTTGTTTTTGGTTTATTTGGGTCAGGCAGTTTTAACCAAGGCGGCAAAGTCAACAATATTTTTTTCGGAGTTGTCACTGTAGTTGATTCTGCTGTGGTTGGATTTGTTGATTGTTTCGTAGTTTTCGTCGTATTCTGCTTCTTGGGTTGTAAGGTGGTCGATGGTTGAGTCTTAGCAGTTGTTGAAAGTGTTGGTTGACTGGTAGCGTTCTGTTTGGTTGTTGTGACTGCCCTTGACGCCTTGGTTGTTGATTTGATTTCAGGAGTGTGGGATGATGTCCCGGAAGTACCTTTGCTTTGATTTTTAGTTGTTGTAGACGGTGATGCTTCTTTAGGAAGACTCCACCCGAAGAAAAGACCCAGGTTGTCCCTAGAAGTAGTGGATTTAGTAGGTGCGTGGCTTTGTTCTGTGGATGTAGTTGGCTTAAGTGAACTGCCTAGAGTGTCTAAACTAACCATTTCGGTTCTAGCTTTTCCGTTTGTTGCATTATAGATACCAGAGACTGTACTCTTTTCTGTGCGCTTCGTTTCTCCTTTTGGGGAAAGACCGGATGGAGAAATACTAATGTATGTTGAAGGCGGCTTGATGGAAGAGGCAGTGGGACCCCGAACTGTTGTGGTAATATTCTTAGATGATGTCAATAAGTTGATCGAAGAATCAGTATGGTTCTTTTGGCCTGTCCCTGGTTCGTGGTTTAATCTTTTTGGGAAAGATTTTGAAAGATCGTAGATCCATTTGAAAATATCAGATGTTATGTTCAGTTTTGTCGTTTCATTTTTCGTCTTTGGTGTTGGATTAAACGATTTCGGGTTCACGGTCAGTCCACCCTTCGTTGTAGTCGTGCTTATTTTGTTAATAGGTGTCGAATTAGTAGTAAGCGACGATAACGTAACTTCAGCTTTGTTGTTTGTGCCACCGTTTGTATTTTTGGAATGTATTATTTGTTTTGTTGTGGTGTTCAGAACATTAGCTTTACTAGTCCCACCTGTCCGGGTTTGGTCAGTGTTTCGTCTGTTACCATTTGTAGTAGAAGAATGTAACGTGTAGCCAAAATTCGTCTTTGTTGTATGTATCCCACGTTTGCCCGTAGTAACCCCTGCTTTCAAATCCAATTGCCTAAACGTCGTCCGCTGTTCATTTATAGCATTGTTAGAAGTTTGCATTTCATTGACGTTCGTGGTTTTAGCAGCATTTCCGTGTATGGTTTTAAAGTCATGAAATCGCACCCTCTTCGTTGCAGTTTTACGTGATGAACTTTGGGATTTGGAAGTTGTTGTAGAAGCATGAGACGATGACGGTCTATTAAATTTTGTTGGTGACGGAGTGCCTGTATTAACTCGAACACCCATGCTGCTCAACCGTGTTGGAAATGGTTGAAAGTTATTTTTGTGTTTTGTGTCATCTGATGTTTTAAAACCTTTGGGATTGGTTGACACTGTTAGAGGAATGGTTGTAGATCTCAGGGATTTGTGAAAGACGTCGGATGCGGCGGATTCTGTATTAACTCGAACACCCATGCTGCTCAACCGTGTTGGAGATGGTTGAAAGTTACTTTTGTGTTTTGTGTCATCTAATGTTTTATAACCTTTGGGATTGGTTGACACTGTTAGAGGAGTAGTTGTAGATCTCAAGGATTTGTGAAAGACGTCTGATGCGGCAGATTCTGTTGCCGGGCTGATATAATTTGGCTTAATTCGTTTGTCATCGTCCCTTGAAGTGTATTGTCTGTGGTTTGAACTTGGCGTATCTTTATTGTTGTGCCATGTTCCAACTGATAGCGGATCTTGTGTGTTTTTCTTTGTAGATATACGGTGCTGCCATAATTTGTTACTCGTTACTATAGGTATTCTGTGAGTGGTACCGTCGAAAATCCCCTCGTGTTGGGTTTTACCTTTAAGATCAGTTTCTGGTTGATGTTTGAAAGAACGCTTTGTCCCAATTGTTGGTCGTACCACTGTATCGGTTGGTTGTCCGCGATCGGGTTTCAGTTGAGGAGTTGTTCTGGCAACCGACGCATTTTTTTCTTGGAATAAAACGTTTTCCACGTTTTTGTTCTTCTCAGATTCATGGTAGTTAAAATTCAAAGTTTCTCCGTTTGAGGTTTTGTCATATGTTAGCTGATTCTCCAGGGATCCTGGATTTGCTTGTGGATACAATTGGGTCTTGTCATGATTATTTACTGGAAGAATGAATTGATTCCTGCTTGGCGTTGTTTTATTTAATCCGGTGTCATCAACTTTCATGTATGGGGAACGTAATTTTTTGGTGACTTCATTTGATGCAGTGACTTTTAGTCTTGGTGTAGAAACACTTTTATCCGTCGTAGCAGATGATTTGTTCGCAGATGAATAAGATCTACCGAAATATACATTTTTAATGGCGTTAGGCAGGAACTCAAATATATTCATATGACCCTCTGTGGATACAGTCTTTCCGTTCTGTGTTGGGAAGAATATAACAGGAGCTTGGGAGCTGGGGATGGAGAAGGTACCAGCTGGTTGAGGCGTGACGTTTATTTGAGAAAGGTTATTAAGGCGAGTAATGATTTTGCTAGTAGTGTCATCGTTATCTTGGAAGGGCTTGGCAGGTTGATCCAGTTTACTACCATTGTTTTGGATCACAAAATGATTGTTCTTATCTGGTGATTGTTTAGTGAAAATTGATTTAGGGCTATGGCGTACCGTCCCCGGCGTTGTTGTTTCATGTTGAACGGTTTTATGGGTACTTGGTTTGTATTTATTGAATGGACTCAATTTCTGGATAGGATTTTTACGACTCTTTTTGAAAATCGAGGCATCTCTGGATTGCCCTGTGTTTTTGTTACCTATATTTACTTTTGACGCTTTGTCCATCAAATCGTTGAGAATTTTAAATGACTTCCATACATCGTTTGGGGTGAACCTTCTGGGATTGGTTGGCGGACTGATAGCTTGAACAGGATCGGAAGTCGAAAACCCCTTTGTACGTAATGATTTAAAATCTTTGCCAATGTTCGATGTGGTCGAATCAAAAATTGCCAAATTTGATTTAGTTGTCTTCTGTTTAGGGGGTTTGGTTTTAAAACGGTATACGGCTGTTGTAGTTTTTCTGTTACTGAAAACTGGAGTGAGTACAGCGACTTCTGGTAGATTTAGAGTAAACTTGTCCGAACCGGTTATTTCCTCACCAGAAGAAATTATTCCTGGAATCTGCGGTCCACCAGTAGACGTTAAGTCCTCACGTGGTGGTGTCGGCAAGTTCATGACGTGCTGATGCATATCTCTAGGGATGGTCGGTGTGGGTACTGGAGATAGAAATGGTTGAGTTGTCATATCATTTGACGTGTATCTTACACTTTGTCTAGAAGAAAATTTTGATGGGAACATTGTTAATTTCCATGAATCCGTCTTTAGAGTTACACGTCCTGGGGTTGAGACATGTTTTGCTTTAGTAAGATTTTCGTGGACTCTTTGTTGCTTTCGATTCTTTCGTCTGTTACCCCTCCCCTTTGGCCGCCTTCCTTTTGGTTTAAATGGCGATTTCTTCCCTGGTGTTAATGATTCTAAAATATCATTTATTTTAGGTTGATACAAGTCTTCATTTAGGCTTGAAGAAGTCGTGGATATACCTTGCGATATGATCTTCGGATTTCTCGGAGAGTTAGTATCCGCCTCATCGTTCCTTAATAAATTTGATTTATTGACCAACGCCGTTACGGAATCTGTTTCAATTCTTGGAATGATACTGGATTTTATATGGCCGCTTTGCATGGGATTTATCGTTTTGGCCACGTTCAAATGATCCTGTCTCGAAACCATTTGGCGAGAATGTTTTTCATCTTTCTTGTCGGTATACCAGTTGAGTTCATTTAAGTCTCGGTCTGTTGTAGAGGCGAATGCTGATTGGTATCCGTTACCATGTTTGTTCGCGGGTTTATTTTTCAACAACGTTGGGGGTTTTGGAGAAAACGGTGATTTATTTACATTTTGAATTTCAGAAACAGCAATTCTGGGTTTGTTTTGTTCGCGTGGTAAAATTACTGAGGCGTTCTTGTTCAATATAGAGACTCCCTTTTTACTGTAGGCGCCAGTGCCTTTAGTGTTTAGAGGTTTTGGAGAAAACGGTGATTTATTTACATTTTGAATTTCAGAAACAGTAATTATAGGTTTGATTTGTTCCCGAGGTAAAATCACTGAGGCGTTCTTGTTCAATATAGAGACCCCCTTTTTACTGTAGGCGCCAGTGCCTTTAATGTTTGGAGGTTTTGGAGAAAACGGTGATTTATTTACATTCTGAATTTCAGAAACAGCAATTTTGGGTTTGATTTGTTCGCGTGGTAAAATCACCGAGGCGTTCTTGTTCAATATAGAGACTCCGTTTTTACTGTAGGCGCCAGTGCCTTTAGTGTTTGGAGGTTTTGGAGAAAACGGTGATTTATTTACATTTTGAATTTCAGAAACAGCAATTCTGGGTTTGATTTGTTCGCGCGATAAAATCACTGAGGCGTTCTTGTTCAATATAGAGACTCCGTTTTTACTGTAGGCGCCAGTGCCTTTAGTGTTTGGAAAAGGTGGGGGACTTTTTTCAGCCATTTGGTTATCTAACTTAGCTACTGCCCAGGAGACCGATGTTTGGTCATTAGTGTTTGGAAAAGGTGGAGGACTTCTTTCAGACTTTTGGTTGTCTAACTGAGCAACTTCCCCGGAGACCGATGTTTGGTCATTAGTGTTTGAAAAAGGTGGAGGATCTCTTTCAGACTTTTGGTTGTCAAACCTAACTACTGCCCCGGAGACCGATGTTTGGTCATTATTGTTGGGTTCTACGTTTTCTTTAATTCCAGAATTAATCGCTGGTGTAGAACGAGAATGGTCTAATTTTAACATCCTCTTGGTTGAAATCCCCAATTGCGACCAGTCTTGATTTTGGTTAGCCAGATCCGGTTGTCCAGAGGAATATGCTGTGCTGCTTGACTTCAACATATGATTATAAACAACTCTATCTTTACTTGCTAGATGTGGTCGCAGATCAGTTGGTTTTAAACTACCTATTCCATCTCTAAGATATACTGGAGATTTATCAGCTGTCAATTTAGGACCGCTTGATTTGCCGTTCGATGGTGCGATTGCAGATGGGTTCACTGGTGGAATAGCTGTACTGAAGTCATCGGACCATCCAGTAAAGCCTTGACCCTGAATAAGGTTTGCGCGATATGGTAACCTAGTTTGACGGGACAAAACTGCGGGGTTGACTGGAACATTGAGCCGAGGAGTAACCGGATCCACTACTACTCTCCTGTCGTATATTTGGGAAGGTTTTATCACCGGATTTAAAGGAGACTCCGATTTAATCAACCCCCCTTTATTAATTTGTGGATCAATTTTGTCAGATCTTGTGCTGTCGATATCACCAGTCTCCTCAACAGCCATGTTTCGATCTACTGTCGGTCTTTGATATGGTGATTTAGATTCAACTTGTTTTCCGACCTTGTCTGTGCTTTTTCGGGAAATCTCCTTCGTTGGAGTATCACTGTGTTTGTAATCATATTTTATATCTGGGATAGGAGTACTGGTTGTAAGGTCAGCAACGCCTTCTTGGTCCCGCGATATCTTTTTATTTTTGTTTTCTTTGATAGACTCTTGATCCCCATGCGTTGTTGTTTTGGTCCTCGCATGTTTCTTTTTAAATGTAGAGTGTACTTCAGTTTTAGAGACATGGGTTGCCGAGTTCGGGTTTTCAAGTTTCAATTTGGAATCTGATTTGCCTTTTGAATTTTTCTCCAGCTCCATCAGCTTCTTCTTTTTCTTTTGTTCTTTAACTTTCTTATTATGTTCCGTGATAAATTCGTTGTGTTTTTGTCTGTAGTACCCGTAATGTGAGGGATGTTGCTTTCGTTCTTCTTTGAGCTGATTTAAGATTTTTGTGGGGTATCTTTTAGCACCAGTCTGGGCAATACCTATTCGTTGTCTTCGGTTCGGTTTTTTTAATCCGGGTGGTGCGTCCGTCCAAACTACGGCGTGTGACTTGACATTAGGTAGTCGTTTCCGTGGCATTACGTAATCTTTATAGTGCTTCTTCCAATCATAGTTGTAATCCCATTTTCGTGTCGGTGGAGGAGGTCGCGTTACCCGTTTTGGTTTATTTGGTGTCTGTTTACTGGTTCCGCTACTTACCATCTTATTCCTGGATGAAGTTCCAGTGATCTTTGCAATATCTATCTCACTTGTAGTTTTAGAACGACTGATGTCCGTTGTTCCCTTCCGTAGATCCGGTGGAATTCGAGTGTTTGATGATGATGGTTTAGTATCAAGTTTGAGATCAGTTTTTGTTATTATTTTGTGTTTATCTAGTTTCTTATCGTTTTGTTCTTTCACAGTTACTGTTGTTCTTTCTTGTAGTGGTGGGAGTTGAGATGGGGATATAATATCCGATGATGGTTTAGTGTCAAGTTTGAGATCAGTTTTTGTTATGATTTCGTGTTGATCTAGTCTCTTATCGTTTTGTATTTTGACGGTTACTCCTGTTCTTTCTTGCAGTGGTGGGCGTTGAGATAGGGAATTAATATCGGATGCAGAAACTGTGGGTTGGGTTTCTGCATTTTGGGTGGAAATATTGTTTGCTGATTTCGCTTTGCTTTGCAAAACCTTGTTTGGTTTCTGGATACTGTCCCCAACAAGAGTTTGTTTTATCTTTGGAACTTTAGAATTTGAATCATTCTGGACAACTTTTACATTTTCTTGAAGGAGAATGGATTTTGGCGAATTCGTTGATGACACTGATGATAATTTTTTTGTGTTGCTGGATGTATGGAAGGTAGGTCTACTTGATGATAAGATTTTAGTTTTTCTGTCAAATCCTCGAATCTTCCCTCTTCTGTAATCATTGATTGTTCTGTAGGGTTCTTGTAAATATGGGTTCCTGACTGTTTGGACGGCACCTGATTTAATTTCTGTAATCTGGATAAATTTCTCTATGCGTTCTGATTTATCCCGAGCAGCCGATTGACTCAGATTCTCTGAATGTAATCCATGGTATGGCTTATGCGAGATTTCGTTTTTCATCTTTCGCTGTGTGCTTCTGTTTGATTTCACTTGCCCATTGGATACCATTGCTTGGGCTCCCTTGTCTAACTTGTTTTCTATTGCATTAGAATCCTGATTTAAATGATTTTTCGTATTTTCTATACCTTTATCAGTAAGATAGGGTTTGGGATATATGGAGTTTGAGATAATTTGTGTTTTTTTGTCGGATGTTTCCTGTATAATCTTCTTCTTCTTCTTCTTCCTTCTGTGCTTTCTGTGATCCTTCTTCTCTTTTAAGGAGGGACTTGGATGTTTGTCGAGTATATTTGACTTGACAGCTGGAAGATCTTCCCTCTCTTCGGCGTCGATTATTCTCGCATGTTCCTGGGCATCCAAAAGTGCCTCGTCACTTTCTGTTTCACCGGCTACCCGATCGCGCTGAAATGGATGGAACGGCAGGAACGGTGACTTGTTAAACCAAACCGAGTTACCGGCCCAATCATGTTCTTTTGTTTCCTCCCACTCTTGAGAATTTTGTTTATTGAATACTTTCACCGTTGAAGGTTTGTTGTTTGGGTTCCAGGTGGTAGTAGACTTATCGTAGCTGTTAGCTTTTGAGAGATGTTTTGTGGAATCAAAAGTCCGAACGCTACTTGATTCTAGAAGCACGGCTGTCCTTTCTTCTGGCTGCCACGGCCATTTGTGCCATTCTGGTGGGGGCTTCAGGCAATCGTTTGCACCAAAACAATGTACAGACCATCTAAACTCTAATCTGTAATAAAATTAGAGGATACATATCAAAGAACTGTAGGCGGATTACTGGAATAACACTATCTTCGTTGACTGAATTTATTTTAAAACGTTTTGCAGAATCACAGATTATGAATGGTAGATTATGTTGATCAGTAACAGTCGTCCCTTTAATGAACCTGTCTGATAAGGAAAGTGCTTTAAAGTGATTTACAATCCTGGTCTGACATTGGGCTGACAAGGTATGTTATGGGTGTTATGACGAAATTCTCCTACCTCTCATTGTACATGTGACCATAGGAAATAAAACATTACCGTTTGTTTGTCTAAAAGTGACCAAAGTATTGTTCGGACGAGACGTTAAACCCGATCCTATTATTTTCCAAATTACCCAGAACAACTAAAATCGCACTGCAGCAGCTAGAGACATTTCCATCAAGGGTAGCCAGAAACGTTTCTATCCAGATCAGCTATAGACTACTGTATATTCAGGACAGACAGATGTTTTTATGTCAAGGGCAGCCAGAAACCTGTCTACCCAGGACAGCTAGATGCCTTTCTATCTAGTGTAGTCAGAAGCCTTTCTACACAGGGCAGCTGGAGACTTTCTATCACGATTAGAGACCTTTCTATCCCGGGCAGCTAGAGGCATTGCTACCTATGGCAGTTAGCTAGACTGGTGTCTAACCAGGGAAGTTAGATGCCTTTCTATCAAGAGTACCTAAGATTTTCTACACAGGGCAGCTAGAGAACTCTCTATATGGGACAGCCAGAAGCCCCTCTAGATAAGGTAGCTGAAAAACTTCTATCCAGGTCAGTTAGAGACATTTCCATCAAGGGAAGCTAACAACCTGTCTGTCCAGGGCAGATAGACATATTTCTAACCTGATCAGCTTTTCAGCTTTCTACAAAGGGCAACTATTCATCTTCCTGTCCGAATAAAATCCAAAGGCAGGTAGAGACCTTTCTAACCCGGGCAGGGTGTGTGAAATAGCTTCATTTTACGTCCGCTTCCACCGAAGTGATATCGCAGCTAGACGTCATTCTACAGCTTCCGGTTATAAATTCAAATTATACTTACATAGTTTTATCAAGTTGTCGACTGCCTTTTACTGTTTCTAGTTGTTTTTCACCCTTATCAACAGTTCGCCTTAATGGTGTCTCAAACCAATCAACTAGAACAGTCGTATGATCATCATCATCATAATCATAGAAAAACACATCCATCTTAACATTACCCTGTAAAATAATACGTCATCATTTTAATATATACATTTAAAGCCACGGATCGTTAATTTTAGACATGCGCTACTCATCTTGTTGTTTTTGGGGCGACGCTCTTCTAAAAAAATAAGCTAAGGCTCCGTTAATTCATGTCCAATAATATAGAACTTACCGCAGCTGGCCATTCGTCAAATAAAACTGTTAATTGTGTCATCTGACTGGATTCATCTTCAAACGATATATCATTGCTATCATATTTTATAGGTCGATGAAATAAAAATACATGATCATTGGCCCTGAAATAAAATATATAACACTAGAGTCAGTAGATATATTAGAAAATTAAAGTGAGGTTTAACGTATACTGAGAGAGAGAGAGAGAGAGAGAGAGAGAGAGAGAGAGACGTGAACAGTTCAAATTGAAATGAAATGAAATGAAATGGAGTTTAACGTCCTACTGTTCTGCTCCTAACCTGGGCTAATGAAGACGGGCATACGCCATACAGTGTGGTATGAGGGAAATTTTTCCCGGGCAGCGGCACTACGGCCTACTCTTATATCGAATTCCAACTGCCAAGGGATCTTTTACGTGCACGCCAATGTGTACACGGGACCTCGGTTTTTCGTCCCATCCGAACGACTAGACAGCTTTCCTTGTCAGCCCCTCCGTCCTGCATCACTGACAAGGGAGAACCACGCCGGAAAATCTGGATGAACTTTCTCGGCCAATGCAGGGATCGAACACCCGACCTCCAGGCTAGCGAGCTAGCGTCTTACCCACTTAGCCACGTGATCCCCCCAGTTCAAATTGAACACCGCAGTCGTTTACGCCTGCTTAGTTCAAATTGAACACCGCAGTCGTTTACGCCTGCTTAGTTCAAATTGAACACCGCAGTCGTTTACGCCTGCTTAGTGCGTTCTAAACGCTTTTAAAATTAATATTTGGTCGTTTGTGGATCGGTATCGGTTTTTACTAATTACTTCCACATGGTTCTGTAGGATAGGTTTGTATTTGTTCATTACAAAATGGCACCGAAACCATAGATACTCGACTCGTGTACTGATTATGAAATGTTAATTATGTTTTAAATATTGGATATTAAGATCCTATAGCTTCATGGCAAGATGGGAATATAAATATTGATTGAAATTGATCAATATTGAATTTTAATTCGTGTTTTTAATTTCGAATATTATGAAAAATATGGAGTTAGGGACTTGGCTACTTTAGCAGTGAAGTTTGGGCTGAAATTTGCCACCTTTTTTGTATCTTTTTGTTTTCAAAGTTTTCATGTGGAATCATAAGGATACTTTCGTCAGGTTTGGGTAGCCTTTTGTGGGAACTGACGACCAAAAACCATTTGCGGCGAAGCAGGGTTAACGGCAGAACCACGCTTTTTTGCGTTATCTGACGAACATGTTGCATAGGTGTTACGCGACGTCACTGTGGTTTCAACACGGAGTCACCCTGCGCAAAGCTATCTCCCACCCGTATGAAACAAGAGAGAGAGAAATGGGGTTTACGGTCCACTCGGCACATACTAGGTGATTCGGGACTAACACATGGTGCACGATTTTATTCCAGTAATTCTCTTGCGCGTAGGGGTCTTTAGCAGTGGGAGGAAACCGGAGAAAACCCACGAGGTTGGACAGGCGAAACTACTCCTCGTCACGTACAACCGAGGAATCGAAACCACGCCAGTTGACTCATTGACAGACCGCATGATACAGGATAAAAATCGCCCGATTAAAAAAACAAAACATTTGCGTTTTTGTTTTCATTGATATATAAATTAGATCTTTTTTTCAGGGGAATAAAAGATATTGTTTTATATAATACATAGTTAAAATATTATTGTAACTATATTTACACAAAAAAACCCAACCTATTTTAAAGTTAAAAGATTATTTTGGCAATATTTACAAAAAGAAATATTTTAATGTTAAAAGTTTATTGTGACAATATATACAAAAGTTAAAAGATTATTGTGACAATATTTACTTTAACAAAAACTATCTTGAAGTTAAAAGATTATGGTTTTATATTATAAACATAAAATAGATTATTGTTAAAAGATTATGATTTTTTATTATAAACAGGATAATAGATTTGAACAGAGCCTCAAAAATAAAAATCCAAGTTCGTATGAACTTTAAGCACCAAAATATAGAGGAGTGGTGTATTTAGTTTGTCTCAAAATTTCAGCTCAAAATATTGAGTCGTGTGGCCGTGAACGTCAAAACTGCTTATCCGGACACGTAACCCTTTCAAGATTTCGTGTCAATTGTTTCGTTGGGTGACCTGAGATTCGATTCCCGTTCCTTTACAGGTCTATACTGTGAATGACCCACGGGCTGTACTTGATAACGAAAAGTAAATTTCACCTAAACATTATTTTTATAAAATAAAAGTCTGGTTATATCAGACACCAAATAATACTCCTTGGTACACAGATCTCCATTTCCACATGAAGACTGACAGGTTTAAGTTGTTTGAAAACGTATCATATATACTGAGTTAGTTGCTCGGCCCTAAGGTAGAGGATTTTTAAAAGCTATTTTAACACAAAAATAAGCAGTTTTATTCTCCAAAATATTATCGGGATTGGCCCTTTACGGTTTGTTGAACTGTATATTATATAGAATCCAAATCAATCGATGGACTACATCCGTTCAATGGACTTATAATTCTACAGTCCCAAAACAATCGGCTCAGTATAAATAATCCTAAGATCAGTTTTCTAAAACAAACAACGATAGCTAAAGCAAACAACGATAGCTAGATATACTTTTATACCACACCCGTAGCTAGCCCGGGGCAAGGGGGAGGGGTGGCCATAGTTCTACAATACCTACTTTTTGTAGTACACAGCAGTGGAGTATTGATTTTGGGGACGTGGCGCCTGGCACCCAATCCCACTTGTCACTATGTTCATTGTTCAGAGTTCGCTAGAGAACGATTTTCTGTGCTGGAAAACGCGTTAGCGGCCGGCCAATTATCAAAATTGTTAAGCGGAAGGACGCCCCCTCCACCGCCCCTTTAAAAGGTCACTGTCCCTCCGCAGCACGCTAGCTGACTACGACCCTGTTTTATACATATATAATACTATTTTATGTGCAGCTCTCCTGGGGGATCACGTGGCTAAGTGGGTAAGGTGCTGGCTCGCTAGCCTGGAGGTCGGGTGTTCGATCCCTGCATTGGCCGAGAAAGTTCATCCAGATTTTCCGGCGTGGTTCTCCCTTGTCAGTGATGCAGGACGGAGGGGCTGACAAGGAAAGCTGTCTAGTCGTTCGGATGGGACGAAAAACCGAGGTCCCGTGTACACATTGGCGTGCACGTAAAAGATCCCTTGGCAGTTGGAATTCGATATAAGAGTAGGCCGTAGTGCCGCTGTCCGGGCAAAATTTCCCTCATAGCACACTGTATGGCGTATGCCCGTCTTCATTAGCCCAGGTTAGGAGCAGAACAGTAGGACGTTAAACCCCATTTCATTTCATATCGTACTGAAGAATGGTCTCGTTGTTGGGCTTTGTACCTTTTTTGACGTTCTCACTCATGACGTCAACTGACAGACTATCGCTATTCAGCAGAAAACCCCCGTCAAGACCGTTTGCATATACGTCATCCTTGTAAATCATTATTTATTCTTTCATTTTGAGTGAGGGCTGTATTATTACAGGTCTAGTACTATACATCGCAGTGGACGCTTACGGCTTCAATTGATATTTGTTGTTTATTTCTTACAATGTCAGTGTAGTTTGTCTTGTCCACGGGTTTGTCCTGTCGGTTCTGTTTTGTGTGTAGTGCGTTTCTCCAGCACTTACTATTAATTATAAATTCTGAGGCTTTTACTTTGTATTCGAAGGGTTTAAGCTGATAACGCAAACAAGTTACCTCCTTATTTGTAGTATATTCATACGCTCACACCAGGGATCAAAACCACAACCACAAGCCAGAGATCACCGGCCAGGTAGGGCTCGAAGCGCGACACTCTAGACCACTAGGCCATATAAACCCTCCCACACATTTATAACCTGTCAACCTTTTCGCTGATACTTCCAAGGTGTGGCCAGTAGATTTGCTTGGTGTGCGTGCTGTCGCCTTACAATTTATCGTGAGTTTACCTTTCGATGTTCTGAAGGGGTGAAAAGTAGAAATGAAACGAAACAGGGTTTAACGTCCTACTGTTCTGCTCCTATACTGGGCTAATGAAGACATGCATACGCCATACAGTGTGCGATGAGGGAAATTTTGCCCGGATAGCGGCACTACGGCCTGCTCTTCTATCTAATTCTAACTGTCAAGAGATCTTTTACATGCACGCCAATGTGTACACGGGACCTCGGTTTTTCGTCCCATCCGAACGACTAGATAGTTGTCCTTGTCAGGCCCTGTTTCTACAATGATTCTCTTGTCGTTTTCATGGTACTGCATTAGTATTGTGCTTGAAAACAACAATATAAATACGAATTCATGCTAACATTTTAGATTTCAGTGGTAGCGAGTTATGCACTTTTGTGTGCGTTCTTTCAATTTATAGCTTGCGCGTTATGTTTACGCATGGGCTACACACATTTTCACAACAAACGCTCTGTTATCAAATAGTTGCTAATGAAATATTTGCAATGTCCACCCCATAAACGTGATGAGTGAAAGCACAAAATCTGGCTTACTTGGTTTGACTTTTTCAAATTCTGGCTTCCATTTTTTTAGAATTTTGGATTATCACAAGCCAGGAGTTTATGGATTCCATCCCGGTGAAGTCCGTGTGTCTGTCTGCGTGTTTGTCTGTTCGGAGATGACGACTACACTAGGGCTGCTTCGAGGCTGCACTGTGGTGTGTGAGGTCAGATCAAGCCAGGGAGTGACATAGGTCAAGAGGTTCTTTTACGTGTACGCCGACATGTACACAGGGTTATCGTCCCCTCCGATTGGACTAGACACAGTTCCTTGAAAGGCCCTCCGTCCTATACACTAACAAGACCAGGTTAAGGTGTAGGTATCGAACAGGGTTAATGAGCCAGCGTCTTGCTCACTGATCCACCGTGCCCCCCCCCCCCCCCACAGAGCAACGAGATCATATTGAGCGTGTATTTAATAATCCCTTACCTGCCAAGCCCGGTAACAATACATCTCATAACATAATCACATTGATCTGGACATGTGCTTGATCCTAGAGGTGCTGCATCACAACAACTACCATCATACGTTCTACCCTTAATATTCCGATAGTTTAATAACCAGATAGTTAATACACCACGACAATAACAATTTTTAATCTGAAAATAAACAAAAAATGAATTTTTAATCTGAAACTACACAAAAAATGAATTTTTTATCTTAAAATACACAAAAAATATTTTTTTTAATCTGAAAATACACAAAAAAATGAATTTTTAATCTGAAAACACACAAACAAAATGAATTTTTAATCTGAAAATACACAAAAAGTAATTTTTTTAATCTGAAAATATACAAAAAATGAATTTTTAATCTGATAATACAAAAAAAAAAATTAACCTGAAAATACAAAAAAAAAAAAAAAAAAATACAAAAAATAAAAAATAAAAATTAAAAAATCTAAAGATACACAAATACTATTTTTTCAAAAAATATAATAATTCGTTAAACTTTTTTTTTTAAAGAATTCGTTAAGAGGTTTTAATACACTACTACATGGAAAATCAAAACGATCGATTAAATATTTGTGATTTAACAAGAATCCAGTGATATATATTTAGGTACATTTTGACCACATTTTTTGTCGTTTTGACTACATAGAATTTTTGCCGTTTTGGTTTACGTCCGTATAGAACATATCCAGCTTTTGTCGTCGGCAGAGGATGCTGAATGTTGTGAATTTTTATTCTATCATGTTGCCTGGTAAATTTATACTGCTTGTTAGTTATATTCGTTCATTATGATGCAGGACGGAGGGGCTGACAAGGAAAGCTGTCTAGTCGTTCGGATGGGACGAAAAACCGAGGTCCCGTGTACACATTGACGTGCACGTAAAAGATCCCGTGGCAGTTGGAATTCGATATAAGAGTAGGCCGTAGTGCCGCTGTCCGGGCAAAATTTCCCTCATAGCACACTGTATGGCGTATGCCCGTCTTCATTAGCCCAGGTTAGGAGCAGAACAGTAGGACGTTAAACCCCATTTCATTTCATTTCATTTCATTTCGTTCATTATGCATTATCATTTACTTCGCAGCAACTTCGTTAGAGATTGTTATGGGAAATAAATCAGACCAATACCGATGACCCTTCTAACTCAGTTAGAATCAAAGTTGTTGTGTTCCAAAGTCTAGACCAAGCAAATGGTTTTTTCCTCTAAATTAACCTAAGCAGAAAATGCGCATCATCTAAATAAGGTATTGGTTTTGTTTTTTACGTAAACACACTTTTAATGGTTAACAAACTTTAAGTAAAATGACGCTCAATTCCGACCGAGTTTACAGTTTAATTATAGCCTTATTGGTTTAATTCTACAACTATTTTTTAAATTTTCAAATATATATCAGACTGACCTTTAGTTGTATTATGTGGTATAACGTCACTGAATTAGGACTAATTAATTAAGATACACAATGATACTTTGAAACATTTACATTTCTTTAAGACTAAACACGTCCACAAATATCATACTTGATATGTGTCCCTCTTCCATTAAAAAAATTAACAATTAACATTTAATTTTATTTTCCGGTTTCAGTAAAACTCTGACTTCTGTACTGTATGTCAGATATCTATGTTGTAAAAAATACAACTTACAAGAGAACGTAGTGTTCAAAATTATATCTTAGCAATTCGGAAACCAGTCTAAAAAAATTACATGTGTCAAGGTCGTTTGGCTTTGTTTTTAGAATTCGGGAAAGTCCAAGGACGTTTGTCTTTATCTTGATATTTTTGTAAGATTTTAGTTCATGTGACCCTGAATCGAAATGAGTATGACATCCCTGGTCTAAATCTTACATGAGGCATCTTTAAGTCCATGAAGTGATTGAATATAAGCATGTATTTTTCTTGTTATATTTCCCCCATAATAGTTATACTGTGTGGTGTGAGATAAAATGTTGTTTAAATTACGGTAGCTCAGAACTAGAACTATGTTACAATGGGGTGTCAAAATCTCTAAAAAGCCGAGAGATTAACAGTTTGTTATCTCTTCCACGACATACAAAGTAAATATACAAATATTTGTATGGAGGCAGACCACGATTAAATTTCACCATCTCGGTACCCAAATTGTAGTTCGTCTATTTATAGCAATTCTCTCTGTCTCTTTTCTCCCCTTTTGCATGCCCATTTTTGTTGATTTTTTGGTCTAGTGTTATCGGGTTGGTGTGATATGTACGGCGAATAGTTACATGTTTTTAGTATGCTTCGTCAAGTTTGTGTATCTCAAAATTTTGGTGGTCAACCTCATCTTAGTGTAAAGACATGACCATTTGTTCTTCGGTCTGTATTGAAAAGCATTCAGCCCAACGAAAATTTGGGGGAAAGTTGGATGTGGGCAAAGAGGCCAGAATTAACATTGAAGTCAATGGAGAAATTAATGGTGGTCTGCCTCCATATGTTCGTAAAATAACATAGTGGGTTATATCCCGTTGCTCTTGCCCGCCTCCACCAAAATCACTCAACAATGACTATAGATGCGTATGAACTAGTTATATAAATAATAGTCCATAAATGATCTGGTTAGCCTCTCGTGAAAAACCAAACCACGCAAAAACCGATATGTTGCCACATCGATAAGGAACTTTATAGCATCATTATTGATGAAATTCAGACTATTGTCAACTTCCAGGATAGCGATTTATATAATTTTCTATGCATTGTGAGTGGTCTGTAAACAACAACAATGATTCGTGGCTCTCCAAATATCAAGTTTCATTCTGGTACAAGGATGATCGCTTAAACATACATTATGCAAGAGATAAATCTGCCTATTGCGGATCTTTCTTTAGGCCTGAAATGTTATCTAAATTATTAATTAGACATTAATTAACTTATCCAGACCATAATCAACTCTCGATGTCATCGCTAGCCTGCTATGTTTATTGGATTAGGTTCCGATTTGCTGTTCGACTTCCATTCATGATTTTATCATGAAATGGATAATCGAAACTATGTTTTTTTATCGAACTGACTTTAGTAATGATGATCGAGGCTAGGCCGAAAATTCAATCGCTAAAATCTTAGTTCAGAGTGGATCAATTTGACTGAATATTTTAGCAAATTTCCTTTACATTATCTAGATTTTAACTATTATAGTGAGAACTACCAGCTCTTTATCTAATCTCCCATAATGTATCTTTAATATTGTAATAGAATGTAAGATGGTATTAACTGCCCACGGGAATCAATATGTAGCCTAAGTTGTTCGATGACTTAATGTACAGTAATTAATCTGAACGGAAGTCTAGTAACACAATAAGTTTATACACTTATTGTTATAGACTCATTGACATGGGATGATGATGCTTACAAGATTGATCAATCTGAAAAGTGATATTCATCGGGGCCCCAATAGAGTGGTTCTCAACCAGTGTGCCGCGGCACACAGGTGTGCCCTTAGATCTTCCTAAGTGTGCCGCGAAATTTTGAACGGCACACTAGGAAAATGTGAAAAACCAGGTGATCCCAATTGAGAATTCACTGGTGTCTACTGATAAGTTCATAGCTGTGAATAGCTAGTCTATGTCTACTGTTATATTCCGTCTGACATGCCATGTTTTTATTTTGCAAAATTCAAATATTTTTCATATATATTTTGCCAGGTTTGCCGCTATTTTTTCATATGTTCCAAAGTGTGCCGTTAGCAAAAAAAAAAAGGTTGACAACCACTGCCCCAATATAATGTGTGAGTTGAGGAAGAAATTATTCACAATAACCATAAAATGAAGCAAACTTAAACGGGGTTTGACATCTATTTTATCTACTGGCATACGCCATGCATTGTGCTAAGAGGGCAATTTTGCCCAGACAATGGCCAGGGGATCCAAAAAGGTGCTGAAAAGGAAATACATCTGACTTCCGAACGGCTGTCACCTGAATTATTGTATATTCAGTATATTCAGATGTGCCCTGCAAATCATTTGATTTTGTAACTGAAGAAATGTTATTCAAGTCAAATTGTCCAAATTAAGGCAAGCATGCTTAGACCGTACGATAACCTACCCAAAACCGAAACAAATCGTCCCAAGTATTGCATCTATGACTAAAAGATATACTCTGTATTTATTATCTGATCTAACAATTGCTACACCTCCACCCCCAAAACCCTATTTACGTAAACAGTAGAGGATTGAGGTCGTTTGTTTTCAGTAGGAGTTCGCATTGAATCTTATCAATCTTATTGGACATGATGACGTAATAACATGTCATATTGTTTACGGCGTGTTCACATATACGAAACAAAGACAACACATGAATTGTTCAGCTATTGAACACATGATTATATATGTTAGAATGGTAAATTTGCTTATTAAACTTTATGACGTACATATCGTTCTGGCCGTCCTATAATATTACTTTAGGCATAATACTTAACTTGGGCGTAATGTTATTTTTGAAAGTGATTGACCATTGTTCAACACACATGGTTACAAATTGAATAATCTTCAAATAATATATTCCTACTGTTATTGCTTCTAGAACTCCTAGTAACCTTTCTAATTTGATTAAGGAGTTCGCCAGGATATGCATTATCGTAGTGCTTTTGGGTATGATATCTACTTCTGGTGCTAAAATATCAGATGGAGTAACGGCTGAAAAATCAAATGAAAATAAAATTGGGTTTAACATCGTACTGTTCTGCACCAAGCGGGATAATAAGTACTGATACACGCCATGTTATGAAGGAATTTGTATCCAGAAAGCGACGTTTTCGCCTATTCGTCTTCAAATTCAAACTGCAAAGATTTGTTTTACGTGTACACCACCGTGCATACTGGACTTTGGTTTTTCTTTCGAACCCCCGTTCTGCACCAGTGACAAGGGGAAACAACGATAAAATTTCGCGACCAACACCGGGAACGCAAAGAAAACCAAACCCTCTACACGATAACAAATACATAAAGATTCTACCCCCAGTGATGTGGAATTTTGTACTACTATCGTAGACAGTAAACATCTATATAAACCACTATTGTTCTGTGTCGTGTCAATGGCATTTAGTAACTAAACTGGAAATACACAGGACACAATGGAATACAATTAGTATTTATAACCCAGAGATTCTCCAGTCTTTGTCAAGCAATGAATATGTGTAAAC